AATATTAAGAAAATAAGCACTATTAGCTAACAGCTAAGGAGGGTTAACTAATTATAACATTAAAACCAAAAAGGCTATTATAAAAAATTAGCGTTAAATATATTAAGGATAAACTATCCTCAAACTACTTAAACCTACAACAAGTTAAAATTCACTTTAAAAAAGCAACGTAAAAAAGTATTATCTTCCCACTTTAAAAAACTTTAAAATCTCACACCCATAATTCTATTCACCAACCTATAATACATCCAATTAACTTTTAAGGAAGGGCTATTTTTATCCTATAGGTTATCTCTTAAAGCAATAAAAAATATCCTTAGAGCTATAATTTAAAAACCTCATCCATCACATCCATAACCTTTTAAAAAAAACCCTTAAACCAAAGCATATTAGGTTAAGAACTTATTATTTATAGAAACTAGGCACACCATATTATAGCAACCATTTATAAGATCCCTAAAAATCTTCTTATAAACACTATCTAAATTATCTTTTAAGCTAAACTCTACTAATTAAAGGGGATATAAGGCAGCTATAGCTTATACCTAAAAGATACTAACCCCTATAATCTTCTTATTCTAAAATAGGTTAATATTATCCCTTTAGGTGAATATTAGACAGCTTACATTTAGTATTAAAATTTATTATTTCTCCTTATCCCCCTTTAAACTACCTTTAAACTTAAAGTTTTCTACCTTTTTTTAAAACGTTAGGTTACTACTAAAACCATTGGTAAATATATCCATTAAGGTACTAGCTAGTTAAATCTAAAAGGCTATAAGCTTATTTATTTAAACTAATAAAAGTAAAGGTTCCATACTATTTATAATTCCTTTTAAAAAAACCTTTATAAAATAAATATTAAAAATTAAACTAATAATTAAAAAATCCCCCTAAAAAAATTAACTATCTTGCAATTTAGTAAGAAATATAGAATAAATTTACTATAATATAAGGCAAGTAATGTTTTATAATATACCAATTATAATGAAAACCCCTCAAATTAATAATAATATAAAAGACATCCTTTTATAAAAAAGGTTAAACATTTTCAACCTACTTTAAAAAGATACACATATATATATTATAAGGTACTTAAAATTTAATTACCTAACTCCATATTTTCACATTCTCCTTATAGTTTAAACAAAAACAACCAAATAAATTAACATTTATAAAAACCTTCTTTACATTTTTATAAAAGGGGGATATAATATATTTCTTAACCTTAAAAAAATAGTTAAAAACTAAATAAACCTTATAAAAAATAGGGGAATCTTTAAAAATTTAAGGAATTTTTAGTAAATCTTTTTTACCTAGGTCCTCCAATAAGGTAGCAACTTTTATAACCACTTCTTAATAAGTTTAAAAGCTATATAAAATAATTATAGGTTTTTTACCTATCACCTTAATAAAGGGCTTCTTAAAAACCTTATTATTACTAATATTTCCACTATAATAGCTTAAAGAGGAAGAATTATTAATATTAAAAGTAATAAAGTTAATATAATTACTATTAAAGCCCCTAAAAGTTAAACCTAATTTAGTAAAATACCTATAAAAAGAACCTACTTTATTATTAGATAAAGGCTAATAAAAATAATATATAAAGCTATTAAAAAAAAAGGACTACTTATAAATATTATAATTATTATTAAAAAAAAAAAAGAATTATATAATAATAAAACCCACTAGTTAAAAATAGGACTATTAATTAAAAACTTTTAACTAATAAAAAACTATTAAAAGAAACCCTTAAAAGAACTACTTAACTTTAATTACTTAAATATATTAGTAATATTTATAATAATTATAAAATAATAGTAAAAAATATTAAATAATTAAAAAAAGAAAGCTAACTAAAAATTTAATAAAGTTAATTATTAAATAAAAAAAAAAGAAAGCTAAGGTAAAAAGAAAGAAATAGCTACTTAAAAAAAAAACTAGCTAGTTTATACCTCTATAAAAGTATAATAAAGACTATTAGAAAATCTAATAAATTACTAAAATTAATTAATAATAGTAAATAAAAAAAGTTTTTAAAAGGTATAAATAAAAATAATTAATATTAACTAATAATAATAGCTAAGGATAGCCTTTTAAAGAGAGATATAATTATAATAACTAGATAAAAGCTATAAGGAAGCACCCTAAAAGCACTCTAATACCTAACTATACCTCTTCCTAAAGCTCGTTAAAAGATAAATAAAACCTACTTACCTTTTTTTAAAAAAAAGTAAAAATTAATCTTATATTAAATTTAAACCTAATAGACCTTTAAACCTCCCTTAACTTATACTATTATATTTAATACTATAGCTTACTATAAATATAAAAAGTTTAATTTATATTTTAAAGTTTTTATTAAATATAAAAAGGTGAATATTATTCTTTTTATAGCTTATTCTACCTTATTCTTTTTAAATCTTCTTAATTAAACTATTTCTATAGCAGACTATTATTATCTAGTCTCATTTCTCGCATATATCCCAAGCTATAGTTACATGGTGCCTTAATATAGTGGTAAGACTTGAAAGATCCAGCGTTTTTAGAGCTATAAAATGCCTATAAAAGCGGTATAAATACAATACCGGACTTGAGTCACTTAACCTATGAGTATAAATGGTCTATAACTACTACTGCCTTGTCTTCACGTAGACACCGGAGTAAAGTTTATAGTTTTAGAAGGTCGACGAGCCTCATACCTAATAGGTATGGACAGAGAAAGGCTTATTACGAACACAAACAGTATATCGGTCCCAGCCGGAAAACGGGGCTGTTGTCTATTCTAAGTTGAAAAGCCACTACCTCAAACGGTTCTTGGTGTGTGTGTGTAGGTTGCCGGTTAATACACAGCAGCCCAGGCTGCAACCATAGAAATACTACAGGGCTTTCGGTCCTTCCCCGAAAGCAACGCGTCGAGTCGCCATCTCTAAGAAGCAAGGCACTGACTAGAAGCCAATATACTCAGCCAGCCCTGCTTCATATTAACCCCTGCCGAGGTGCAGCCGCGGTGCAGCCGCGATGACTCAAGCATGAGACATCTGACGGCCCAACGGGTGGCTGTGAAGTTTGTCTGTCTGGCGGGCACGATTCTATCCACGGCGTGCGCGGAAGGCAACGACGGAGGCGAGTTGTGTCTGCCTGCCCGGCCACGAGGTGTGATTGACTGTGACGGTCTTGGCCCAATTTCCCTAGGCTGCACAGCGCGCCCGGGCTGCCGGCCTGCCAGCCTGCACAGCCAGACAGCCTGGCAGCCTCGTGCGCACGGGAGGATAGAGGCTGCCTCCTAGTGGCGATGTAATTATGAATGACATGGCAGAGGTGGCCGTCTTTCATTATTATCATTGCTTATTCCCGTAACTTACAATGCCCGAGTGGTCCGTGAAATTTGAGAGTAGCTGAAAAATCTTGTGCGCTGCAGGGGGACGCCTCATCACTGTGGCCTGGGATCGCGGTCGTATTGCCTTTTGGAGGTGACGGATTGCTCCTCGAGAAATATACGGCCCGAGGTTCAGGTTCAGGCTCGTCTAAAAAGGAAGTCGGGATGCGGAATACATAGGCCCCACAAAAGATATTCGGTGCCTTCGCCCGGCGGGAAGATACAGCAGAGTTCCCCGACGGCCCATCAAGGTGGACCCTTTGAGCTTACGGATACAGTACGGTGGGTTCATGCAAGGTTGTGGGCCCGACATGGGTGTCGTGGCAGCGGTGACACGGACTCTTCTTTTTTTTCCCTGTCAGCCTGTGTGCTTGCATCAGTGGCGCGTGGGGAAAGAGGACCGGCTGGGCTGACTGGGGCCTGGGAACGGTGTCTTCCCTGTTCCGCAGAGGCGACAGGGCGTGTGCACGCGTGCGAGCTTCGCTTGTTCTCGCTTGTGAGCGCGGATGGTCCGGGTACTTCTCGTGGTGGTACCGACCGGGCCTGCCTGGAAACAAAGTTCGATATTCACGGGCACGCACCACACGGAAGAAAAGGATTTCTCAGTATTTAGTCATCCCCAACATCGTGGCCAGGTGGCTCGACTCATTCACGCCCGACGACCCTCGGTGAAGGGATCCTGCGCCACCCCCCCTGGCAGCCAGCCCTGGTTATCGATTATCTCACCTTAGAGCACACTAATCATTCCGCAGATCATTGAACGCACACTCGGGATGACCGCGTGCAAGGGTCCGGGGTGAAACCGCAACGGAAAGGGTCCCCGGACCCGGAAGCCGGGAACAATCCCAAGGTTCAACGGTGAAGGGGCGCACAATCTTGAGCCCGACATGGATGTGTGAAAGTTTTGAAATGAGAAGGGGACGACTGAATATCTTTTTCCGACTGATTGACTGCTGGGGGGTTGCTTCTTTTGGGGATAGGGGCCCTGTGAACCTGGCTTCTCAGGGACTCAGGGGACTCGAGGGGCCTGCTGCCACGCGGTCTGGCGGTGCAGACCGAGACTCACCGAGGGTAGTTTGCCACCATTGTTGTTCCGGGACTTCGCGAGCCCTCGAGGAACGAACGGTACACGGCGCTCACCCCGGACCCTTGGCCGTCCAGCCTGCCATCCCGGGCGCTGCCTACCCTAGTTCATTCAACCTCTATTGGGCCATAGGTACCTTGAATACGGGGACCTCGGGTTGCCTGTGACCGTCGTAGGTTGATGACATGGCATTCACACAAAGTCCGCAAGCGATTTTGAGAAGCTGCCTTGGCAATGAAGTTCACGTGCACCTGGAAGTACAGATACTAGTAGTTTGCAAGGAAAACGCAGTAAATTCCAACAAAGGCTCGCTACCGGAGCGCCGCCTTCTCTAGCTAGTGGCATGAAAGGGTATCATTATTATTACATGTGATCCACGTAGCTCCCCCCTCCCCCGGAAAACCTCCCGTAATTTTTGTGGTCGTCCAAAAATCCCATTCGTAAAACCGTGTTTCGTGAAAAAGAGAAAAGAGGTCAAGCGACCAACCAGAAATCTTTTTCCCAGCCCCGCCCCCCAACCCGAGTGTGAAAAGGTGGTGATACAGTTATCTTTTTGAAAAGTCTAGATCGCGAATGAATAGAAAAGGAAAAGCAAGTGCGAAAAGTTTTGCAAACGACTGGGTATAAAGGGTATGTGGTATGATGCCGCAGACCAATGAGAAAAGCAGAAACGCCTGTAGATGCCCCGAGATCCATCAAGCAGTGCCGTTAACCCGCGAGGCAGAACCAAGAAAGCAAGACAGAGGTGAAGCAGATAAATCATCCAAAAGCATAAAGAGCATGAACAGCGTTTGACAGATGTAGGAGAGACGTTGAGGAAATTAAGAGCCAATGCAGACATGAGGAGATGAGACAGTATGCGTAGAGGGGTATTTCCAGCGCACGGAGAGGAAAAAGCTGAACACTGATGATGAGAGGAGAGCGCAGGCGAAGAGCCGCGAACAGAAAACAGTAGGGTGGTAGTGACGTGAGAATCACTGATGAGGCGAGCTTCCTTTAGAAGAAGCCGTTCTTGGGGGTGCCGCTGCGAGGAGTGCCGCGGGGGCTCTGGATGTCATCGACGTGGTTGGCCAGGGCGACAAACAGGTCGAAGAAGAGCTGGGAGCCGCCGTTGAACATCTCCTGCTGCATGGTTCCGCTGCGCTTGAAGGTGGAGCGGCTGCGGATGATGAGGGCGAGGTAGTGAGCCCTGAGCTTGGAGTCAGAGTCGGAGGTGTTGGCGTATGCGAAGCGGGCCGAGGACAGGATGATGCCACAGGGAATGCCGGTGCCTAGTGGGCCTGATGTCAGTAAGGAAGTGTAAGGAGGCGGCGCTGACAACATGTCTGGGTCGGGTGTGAGCACTTACGGAGACCCTGCTTGCGCAGAGCGATGCGCTTCAGCTCCTCCAGCTTGTACTTCTCGGCCGCACAGTAGATGACGGTGTCCTTGAGGATCTCGGCCCCGGTGGCCTGGTGGAAGATGGTGGCCTCGTCGTTGCTCTCGATCTCCCACGTGTCCCGGCGCTTGTTGTGGATCAGGCGGGGGGAGTAGTCGCCCTTGTACAGGTACTCAAGGATAGGGGAGAGGACCTCGGGCTCCTCGTCCGGCAGGGTCAAGCGCTTTCCCGTGGACTCCATGTACTGCGAGCGGAGGGCAGCAGCCAGGACGGGCGACTTGGTCAAGACCTCCTCATGGGCGGCGAAGATGCGAGCCTCGCGGCCGACAACCAGGGTGATGATGGGCGAGTTGCTGTAAGCAGGACCATGTTAGCATTCCTTGAACCCTTGACATGTTTATGCATGGCATGCGTGCAGTTGAGCCTCAAAGGGGATACCCACTTTCCAGAAGGGTCCACCAGGTTCTGAGCGGAGCAAGACGGTCGGCGGCGGGAAGTGGACGCAGTGGAAGGTCGGCGCTTAGAGACACCCGAGTCGCGTGTTACTGCCGTGGAAGGGGGCTTCGATGATTTCGAGGTGCTCTGCGAGACACTGGCTTTCCTCGATCGGCCGAACATTTTGTATGTGTGGTGTGACGTGAGATGAGATGAGGGTTTGTGTGATATCCCCTTGTTCCGTCGATGTTTCGACGGGTTCGAGTTTCGGCCGGATGGTAATCGTGATCGTGATCGTGGACGCGGTTCGCTGGCGATATATAGATGGCTGTGATGAGATAGGTCCGTCGTGATATTGAAATATAAGACAGACAGAAAACAGGCCCAGACGGAAATACAGGGTAGAAAACAAGTCAAATGCGCCAAGATAGTGAACAATGGAAGGCCCGAGGACTCGATCCTCGACCATGACACCCTGTGGTTATATATCCGTGAATCATGAACAACTGGCGTCTGTGCTGCCCATGTCAGTCTGCTTTCCCATGTCCTCTGTAATTTTTTAACACCCCGGGCGAACCACCGAACCACCCCGGCGGTGACTGGAGGCAGACGGAGCTTGCGAAAGCCTCAGGATGGGGCGGTAGAGCCAGCAGTTCTGGGCCAGCAGGGCCAGCTCGCGTGTACAGAAACGGGGCCAGCTGTGGAGCCGTGCTGGAGCGAGGGTGGAGCGTGGGCACGTGCGATCTTCACGCTGCCATGAAATGATGCCCTGTTCTGGAGGTCTGTACCGAGTCGAGGGATCCGCTTGCGACTCGGTGAAGGCCTGGCAAGATTGGCAATCAAGGCAATGACAGCATCAAATGCACGGCGGGCACCATTTTGGCGCTCCCGGGGGCAGTGAGGGCCGTGAGGATGTTTCACACTTCCTCACGGACAAGCAATGAGAAGCCGAGAATACCTTTGGTAGCCCGCAAGATGGCCCCATGGCGCCACTCGAGCGACCCGGGCCAGCGAAGAGTCACACACTCACAGACTCACTCACACCTCCTGGACGGGGGGCGGAGGACGGGGGCTGCTGGCAACGGCGGAACGGGGGTTGAAATTCAATTGAATTTCAGTGAGACGGTGAGCAGGGCCCCCTGTCCATGGCCATTCAAATTGCTGCAAATTGACAGATGCAATTTTTGGTTGGCGCGAGAGTGGAGCACATCCGGGAGCTTGAAGAGTTTTTCGCCTCCAAGAAGGTTCCCTGTCCTCCGAGAACACCCCCAGGACGCTCCTCTGTGCCCCTGCTGCCCCTGCCCGCCCACCCCGGTGCCCTGTCAAGCCTGTCCCCCCAGCCCTCGTGCGAGAGCGAGCAGCTTACTCCGTACACTGCAGCCCACACTTGTCACCCACACGCATGGGCAGGGCTGCCGACAGCCTCTCTCTTTTTTCTCACTTTTTTTTCTATGGCACACGCGCCGGGTAATACTGGGCCTGGTGGGCCGGTGGATCCTGCCAGCGTGCACGTTTGACAAGAGACGGTGAGCTGGAGACCACAGGGATCCGGCCAAGAAGCATCGTGCATGCTGCCTGTGCTACTGCAGTGCGTGCAGTCCGGCCTGAGGAGAGCTGAGGATGAGACGATGATGGCTGGGTAGACTATCCGTATTCTGCTGGGCTATGACTGCCACGCTACTACGGAGTGGATAGTATGACTGTGCTGTGTACTACTATGGAGTATGCTTGCCCATGACGGCATCACATGTATTCTGGTGGACTGCGATGCGAATGCAATGCAATGCACCGCGCTTCGCTGCAGTCTCTGCTGGCCCATTATGTGACCCGGCCGACCCAGTTTACCATCTTGCTCACTCCTCTATTTTCTCCGCACTTTGCTTGCTTCCTGATGCGAACCGGTCCGGGCTTCTCGGTCCTTGGTCCTTGTCCTTGTCGGTCGCCACAATGCATGAACCGACGGGTAGCCAGCCACTGAGCAGCCAGACCGACCGAGAGGCTCACAGACTGCCTGGCTGCTTTGCCTGACTGCCCACATGGCTTTGACCGCATAGTCATCCCGGCCCGGATACATACTATGTCTGATCAATACACATACGGCAGGATCCGCCACCTCACCGTCCTCCTGTACTCGTCCCAGTCCTCTCCGTACTTCTCCGAGCAGGCCTTGTCGTCCCTCCTCTCCCGGTGGATGAGCAGGATGGCAAAGTACAGGACGTAAAAGTACGTGAACACCATCCCCCAGCCCCTCGCGGCTCCTTGGATGACTTGTCGACCGTCGAGCATGGCGCTAGCCGACTCGCCGGCGCCAGCAGCAGCACCAGCACCAGCGACAACGCTTCCTGCAGGCAGGATGACGTATCCCGCCATGCCGGTGGGAAGACTGAAGGGCAGCGCCTGGAGCCAGTCCCCAAAATAGTTGATGTGCCGGCTCACGCCCCACCACCCGCCGGCCAGCAGGCGCGTGCCCCGCTTGGTCTGGATGTACGACATGCCTCTCACAGATGGGTCCTCGGGGCGCTCCCTGAACACGCTCTTTTGCAGGTTCGAGGCCCGGAAAATGTACAGGCCCAGCCCAAATACGACGCCCGCCGCCGCCAGCCCCGCCCAGCCCAGGTGCGCCGGGTGGGCGGCCAGGTAGCGGCACTGCGTCGAGTATAAGAAGGGCACCCACGCGATGTCCCCGAACGTGAGCATGAACCCCAGCCCGTCCGTGATGATGTCCATCATCTGCAGCAGCCGCTGCTCCGCATACTGCCCGTACAGCACGTAGAAGGTCTGCACCGCCGCCGTGACGACGATGCTGTCTGAGAGGCGGCCGTACGTGCGGTACTGCTGGGCGACAAAGGCCAGGTCGAGCAGCATCCACCCCGTGAGGCCAGGCCGCATCTCGAGCCATGCCTTGAGGTCGATCTCGCCAAACAGGGGCAAGGTCACGCGCGGGTTCAGCTCGCGCCCGATATAAAAGTCGTAGATGAAGCTGCCCGTGTGGCCGCCCACGGCGAGTTCCCGCAGGTCGCTATTTCCACGGGCCACCTCGAAGCTCCGAGCGTAGACATAGACCGAGATGGCATAGGCAAGGATGATGTTGGCCGTCAGAAGCTGCAGATAGTTATCCGTGATGAAGGTCCACACCACCCAATCAGCCCCGTACACATACGTGCCCACCGCGCAGGCTGCCAGATGGACAACCGAGGCGTTGAACGCGTTGAAGCGGTACAGCAGGGGCCGGCCGGATTCCCGAAGCTTGGTGCCGTAGACCTCGTTCGCAGGTAGCAGGCGGTAAAGGACAAGGCTGAGCAGGTAGTACAGCAGCGTCCAGCCCGTGACCTCCCAGCTGGCGAACCCCCATATCCCCTCCTCGGGCCAGGGGATCTGGGCCTTGAGGGTCTCCCAGGTCAGCGTGCTGGGCTGCAGCAGGGCTGGCGCTGGGCATCCCGAGACGCCGTTGCAGCCGAGATAGAAGACGTTGAGGAGAACGGGGAGGCCGAGCACGATGGCGGTGGCGCCTGGGCTGTGCAGTATCGTGAGCTCGTGGAGAGGTCGTGCGGGAGTTGAGTTTCACTTACGGGCCGCCGAATTCATACTCGGGCTTCTTATTGGGAGCCATCTTATTCGTGTATGCTCGGGTAAATAATGCCCAACACAGTGTCCGTTGGGACTGCACGAGATCCTGAAAGGCTGAATAAAGACGTGTCAATTCTTGTCTGCCAACCGTGACACTGTCATAGCCAGGGAAACATAAGCTGGAGAGGTTTGTCAACAAATAGAATCAACGCAACAGCAAGGTGTGTCATTTTGAATGGATTCAACTAGTACGGAGTAGTTACAGAAATTATGGCGGAGTCAACACGCACACGGGACCGAAGGCTTCCGTGCCGTACGATCAACAGACGACCTATTGACAACCCCTGTCCACCAAAATTACGAGCTAGATCACTGCCCGAATAAGCCAAAAACGGAGGGATAGGGTTGGACTATCGCTGGAGGGATTGGGTAGAAGGGGGAAGGGGTGCGGTATTCTTGGCGGCCCCAAGAACACTTGCCTCAATGTCCCGAGAACTGCAAACGGCTTTCCAGATTGGTCTCAGACTGGTACAATGCTAAAGGTTGTGAGCCTTGTTATCATTTTTAATGGCCTCCCCAGACGGTCCGCCGGGAGAATTCCAAGGTGTCAAGAGGGAGAACAAGTCCAGTAACTCCATCTCTGGGCAAGTTCGATATTGGGTAGAGGGCATGTTGTTGTACAGGAGTCGAAGTCGAAGGCATTATAGTGCATGCTGTCCATCAGCCCCCATCAAAGACCTGGAGGCATCATTGCTCTATGTACATCTACTGAGCGAGTGTGCCCACGCACCGACATCATTGTGCTTGAAAAGAAGCGAGGGCCGTTGAGGTAGTTTTGAGGACATTGAAACATCAGCGTGGAGGATCCTAGTCAATCAAGTAAGTTAAATTCGAAGGCCAGAATACTGTGATTCAGGGCAAGCGCCTGTTTGATTCTAACGGAGCAGCTCTGCCCTACGCAGCTCATGCATGTTTGTGGTTGCCCCCGTGCTTAGAGGGTATGTGTGTCTCAGCCAGACCATGTACCACAAGGGCCAAGACGTCCACGTTCTGTTCCGCTCATTTAAAATCACTGCTGTATCCGTTGGCTCGGCATTTGCCTCTGTTCGGGTCAGCCAGAGCCTCCCACCGATCCGAAACCCAAGGGAAGGGCAGGCTTGGGTTGTCGACCTGCAGGTCGAACTCTCCACCAGCCCCGCAGTCCAACGGCTTCTCCATGCGTTCGTTGCAATATCCCGCGGTTATCTCGTCGTACTTGAGCTGGGGTCCCCCGTACCGAAGAGCGATGCCGATGCTGCGGTCATAGTTTTTCCCTTGTGTTCCCTTGCGTACCTCCTTACAGTGACTGACCTGTGAGAAGACGTCCATTAGCATGGTTTCAGCATTGGTGGATGTCACAATGAAGTCATAATATAATGCTGAGGGTGGTATGGGTTACCGTGTTGCCGGCAGGGAACCCCTTGTAGGCTTCAACAGCAATCTGCTGACAGAGATCGTATACAGACTGGTTGACGAATTCGGAGTGCTGCCCTCCGACGTCCTTCCACTTCTCACTCGTGTCCCAGTCGTAGCATCTATTCGAAGTCTTGGCGGGATCCAAGCCGTGTGTGGAAGTATTTCCAGGGATGCCAGTGATGTTCAGGGGAGTCCGGTCGCCCGCGACGATGGAGACGTCTTGGTCAGGCGAGGTGAGGGGTGCAGCAGCACAGAACTCGAGGACCAAGGTCAACACCACCAAGTTAAGCAAGGTAATTAAGAATCGCATCTTGAATGCTAATGCCTTCTGTTAGGTATGTGAATCTGTTCAAATGTAGTCGTCGATGACAAGCCGGGGGAGAATTCAAGACTTGTTGACAATATGAAACAGGGGAAGATAGAGACGGACGGACGAAGAAATTGTTGAAAATGTTTTAGGGGTGGGTGTGATTATTCTTAGTATGTCTATCAGAATTGTTTACAGCCCTGTCCGCTAAGAAATAATTTCAAACAATGCACAGTATTAACAACCGCCGGTCTACCCAAACTCCACGCCAGTGTCCTGTCCAGCTCTAAAAGATCAACATAAAGAAGGCCTTCCAATTACGCAGCAGCTGCTCCAGTGATATTCGCTGGGTTCAGCCTCTTCCACTTTGAGAACAGCACGACAACCAGTGCCATTGCGGTCGATCCAAGAGCGACGGCAAATGAAATCTTGAGCCCATGCATGTAGGCCACCAAAATCCCGGGCAGCTCCTCTGCTGTGAACGCTTTCCTCAGCTCAGTCGCACCGGTTGCGATGAGTCTCAAGGGATCCACACCCGGTGCCGAGTATGGGATCGTCTTGATCAGGACGTTGACGAATGCAGACTGAGAGGCTGAGACGAGGAATGCACCCCCAACGGTCTGGAAAAAGAGGATAATGGCAGTCACCTCAGCCAAGTCCTCGGCCGGGGCGGACGCCTGTCCAGTGATGATGGGGACCTGGAAGGCGAGCCCCCAGCCGACTCCTCCCAGGATCTGATATCCTATCCACTTTCCTGACGGTGTGCCGATGTCAAAGGTGTAGATCAACCCTGCCGCGACTGTCGCCAATGCAGCACCGAAGACGGCCACAGGGGTTGCAAATCCAGTCTTTGAGATGATGCCACCGCTGACGATGGTAGAGACTGTGACGGCCAAGATCAGGGGCAGATTGCGGACACCACTGTCTGTAGGGCTGACATTATCGATGCTCTGGAAGTAGATTGGCAGGTAGTAGATGATCAAGAAGTAAGCTCCTGCAAAGAAAAATGCGAAGAGAGACGACACAATGTACACACGGTTGCTGATGAGGCGGCGCGGCATCATGGCCCGGTCGTTCTGGAACCATTCCCAGGCGGCAAAGACGCCAGCGATGGCGACGAACCCAACAAGGAGGCCTACCACAACAGATGAGTTCCAGGCGTGCGAAGTGCCACCATACTGAAGGGCGAGGATGTAGCTGATGACGGCGCCCATTATGAGCACAACACCGACGATGTCCATCTGCAAAAGCTTCTCACGAAGGGGAGCAACAACAGGCTTGGCTGCGCTCGGGGTGGTGAAGAAGAGCAGGATGATCAGGCCGGAGAGGCCGCCGATGGGCAGGTTGATGTAAAAGCACCAGCGCCAAGTGACCTTGTCGGCAAAAGCACCGCCAATAAGCGGCCCGACGACAGACGCGATACCATAGCTTGCCCCGATGATACCGGTGAACACCGGCCTCTTGCTGGGCTCGGCCGAGAAGGCGATGATTGTGTAGGCGCCGGTGGCGATACCGGCAGCCCCAACTCCTGCAATAGCCCTGCCGGCAATGAGAGCCTCGCTGGTGGGTGCGACACCGCAGATCAAGGAGCCGAGCTCGAAGATGAAGATGGAGAGCAGAAAGCTGGTCTTGAGCGGGAAGTACTTGAATGCCTTGCCCCATGCCGACTGGAAGCCGCCGAGAGTCATGAAAAATGCGGAGCTATACCATGAGACGTCGTCAAGGCCGTGGAATTCGTCGGTAATCTTCGGGATGGCTGTGGCAACGATGGTCTAAGGGGCGTTGTGTCAGTCAATGAGTGCATGGAACGAGGGCCTTATCTGCCGGCATCGCAGTGGAACGTACCATATCAAGCGAGACCAAGAAAATGCTGAGGACCAGGGCGATGACGATGAACATCAGCCTTGCTCCAGTCGGATACTCGCCCGGGCTTGATGCAGCCGGTTCGGACACTGTAGGCCGTGTTTCCCCCTTTTCCTCGTCGGTCACGTTTCCGGCGCTATCTTTCTTCTCATCGTAGTCACTAGCAACATCCGGGGCCGTTGACGGAGCTCGCGTTGAAGCCTGCTCGAAGTCACTCTGCTCGCCCTTGGGGTCCAGAAATCCTGATGTGGTTAAGGTCTGGTTGGGCTCTGCGCCACCAACCATGGTATGTGTCGACGTCATGGTTCAAAATATCGTGCTGATATTGGTGCAATATTAATCGTTTTGTTACAGTCGTGACACTGACAGCCACGCCTCGAAACTGGTAGCACTGCTTGATGCTTGATCCGTTTGTATGCCCTTGCTGCCGACGACTAGTGGTGAAAGATGTTTGGTATGTGCAAGGGTATCGATCCGAATGAGTTGCTCAACATATACGAGCAAAATGTTGTAGTTGCATGCTCCATGGGAAATAACAAACCTTCAGGGTTGGGATCACAGAAGATTAAATATCAAAGATGATCGACAACACCATCCGGCGATACGTGGACATTGCGGCAGACGGTGCAGACGCCCGGCCACCACCCGGAGACTTAGGCGACACTTAGGCGACACTACATGGCTTACATGATGCTCGGATGTATTGACAACGAAGTCTGCGCATGGATGTGAGGCTCGGCCTGGGAGTCACCCCGTGCAAGGTCAGCAACCTCAAACAGCCAGGCTGCTGAGCAAGTCGGGCCAGAATGTGCGAGATCCACTATCGACAGCACATCATCTCAGAAACGACAGACCGTGTAGATCCAGCCAATTGGAGAGATTTGGGGGTCCAAAGATTAGCAATCCGGATACTTTCCCAGCCCTAATAATGGTAAACTAGCCCAACCGCTTCTGGAGGCGCCCAAAGAGACGGAACCCAATCACATGTCGACGAGCAGGGTCCTAGCTGACGCAGATAACGGCATTTCCCTCCCGAATTTACGGCCCGGACATAACCGTCTCAGACAACACACCCTGCTTTGTCAGAATCCAAGTGACTGGCCGAGCGTCTTAGTACAATAAGGGGGCACCAACGAATGTGTCCGGCCCCAAAGTATTTTAGTGTAGAACTTGGCACCTCTCCGGCCTTTTTGGGTCCCATTTTAGCCAGTGGCTTTCAAATCAGAGCTCTGAGGTGCAGATGTAGGCTGTCCGCCATCCTCAACCACGGGTCTTCTCAGAGCCAAGAATGTCGTGCAACACAATGTCAGCGGAAGGCTTCCCTCTCTTGATTACGTTTGCCAACTCCTGAAAAAATCATTGTGCAGTATGGTACACTTGTAGCTCATTCACTGCCCCACGTGCGCCTGGTACGGCAACAGTCAGCCTGTAAGAAAGCCACAGCGCGGACAGTTGACGATTACCACGTCCGAAGCTAAGACACGCTTGACCGTGCGCTGGTCCCTGTTCTATTTTCAAAACCACCATCTGAGTCCTCATGAGTGAGTCATCATGGATCTGGGTGAGGTGCCCAGAGAGCCTCCGGCGTGCCCCTGGGTGCCCTCCTGAGAACATTGAAGCCTCGCACGCACCGAGCATTCTGTGATGAAGCATGAAGTATAGGGCGCGCAAGACACGAAACTCATATCGGTATATTTTAGAGAGCACAATCAATCAGCAGAGTGTTTATGGCCGGCCGGTGCAGGCCTGTCGATTGGCCGTGATAGCCCGGTTGTGCAGGTTTAGTCTCGATCTAGGGGCTATGGAAAGCCTGCGGCATATGTGGCCGCCCTCACTTGTCTTATCTCCACTAAATCCAGCATCCGCCGCCTCGAACCAGTACGCTGCTAGGCTTGGCCTGCATCTAGTCACACTGTATGAAAGCGCCGTGTATGTCCTTGGACGTATACGGAATAGAAGCGAAACCACACACAACATCTGATGCAAGTAAGCTGGACTCCCAGGGGCTGGATTGGACAGGTCCGGAATACAGAGTGCAGTGTCATTCGAATTGCGATGGAAACAAAGACATTGTCAACATTGCACGTACGCAGCCTACCTACGGCGACTTACTACCTCATTCTGATGAACATCTGGCTGTCGTAACCCATCACCTCACGGACACGGCGCAGTGCCAGGCTGCTCTGAAGGCATGAAATCCAAGGTCCCTGCCAGGTGGAGCAAGAAGGAATGCTGGAGAGAAAAGGTTGATATGCTCACTACCTAGGTACATAATGCTCCTAGAGATCCAAATTGATGCCAAAGAAATGAATGACTCGATCTTCTCTTCGACCAATTAAAGCGACTCCGACCATCAGACCGCCGTTACTGAATTCTGCCAAACAGCAAAGAGCATAACACTTCTCGCTGTGTATTACCTAGTACGCACTTACACCGACCAGAAGCCCATCGCGGTTTATAATGCTACTTGGTTGCATGATGGATGAGCATATGGAGTCCGTTGCGTTTCAATAAATGTTCGTAGTTGCTACTATCCCTCAGTAGCCTGCAGGTATCTCGGTCTGCATAGGGCTGTGACCGCCGCCCTAGATACCGCTGTCATCTTGGCTGTTGGATGTCAGTAAAATTGACGATACTTGGTGTTGGAAAGGTGCAGGGTCGTGGTCCAGCTAAGTCAAAAATGAGGGGAGGTAGAGGAAATACGTGACTTACAAGACATGTTCACTGTCACAACCAGACCACCAGTTGTTACAGTCGCCAAACCACTTGTCCCAGTTTGCACAGACACGCTCTGTCTCTGCAGTGATGGGCGATCCGGGTGTATTGAAGAGCGTGTTTGCCTCAGCCTGTCGCTCAAGGATCTGTAGCGCAAGTCCCTCACTTGCGTGGAAGGCTGCACAAGAGGGTGTCAGTAGAATGCTTCAGCTGTTTGGAAGTTGTCTCTTACCAATGTGGCAGTGCATCAACCAGGTTCCAGGGTTGTCTGACTTGAAGGCGATGACGACGAAGCCGTTTGACGGCAGCAGCACAACGTCTCGACGAGGAGGATTGTTCAGGGTCAGATTGAGCCTGTCTGGCGAGTATGTTTGGTTAGATTGTTGGAGGATCGCGAAATCATGCCCATGAAGGTGTATCTGGAAGCGTGTGTCAGCCAAGAATCCTCCAGATTTAAACGGGATAAAACGTTTGTCATGAACAGCGACCTACAGGATGAGCGCCAATTGTGGTCCCGGCGAGTCTGTTGCCGGTGAGCACGAGGTATACCTAAGTGATGATGCGTGTTAGCATTCGGTCTTTTTCCCGTGACGATGCGAGCGAGGTCTCTAGGAATCGTCGACACATACCCAGCTGGAGCTGTTGAAGTTCTCGGGGATGACGACCCACTGCCGGGGCCAGTTTCCGCTGAAGTTGTCCAGTTCCTGGATGATAGGGTGGCTGTAGTTGATTTGTAACGGTGTGAAAGTAGAAGAAGTCTCTGGGTCGAGGGCGAATTGTGCAAGAGGGAATGGCTTAGCGCCCGGCTGAAGGCCGGTGAAGTTGGTCTCGATAGTGAACTGCTCCCCATCCTCGGTGTTGGCCGCAGGTCCGACATACCAAGGGATCTTCGGCTTCAGAGACGTGTAGGGCTCGTCAGAGCAATTCTTGGGGATGTTGGGCCACGGTAGGGAGGTCGGGTCAGAGGTGCTTGCAGGGTTGTACCGAACAATGCCTGTACGCTCATATCCTTCCTGTGCTACGTTGGCCTGGCTACACTGGTCGGCTCCCCAAGTCCTAATCCAGAAATTGCCATCTTGAGGCACTGGATTGGCACCGCCATCGTCAGCATCCGGCCTGGCTTCAACGATGACTCGATACCGCTGCCCGATGCCGATGAGGACGGACGTCGTAAAGTACGGCTCGATCGGAACGAAGTCCGAGTCGATGACTTGCAGAACGTGGTTGTCAATGCTGAAAATGAAGGTCGTCCTAAATGAAGTGTTGATCAACCGCAACATGTACCTTTTGGCTCGCCCATTGCTGGGTATCTGCCGCTTTTCGAACTTCAATACGAACTCCTCCGGGATAGGTGAATCAGGGGGAGGGTTTGCTGCGCTGAATCTGGTCACGTTTCCATGGCCATTCAAGAGGATGCTAGGATTCCTCAGATTTGGATTCTGAGTGTAGATTGATTCAAAAGCACTGTCATGGCCCCAGTCCGTCATGAGGATTGGTTGCTTTGGCTCATCGAAGTCGGCCGTGTCGGGTCCATGGATTGTCTACAAGCCTCAAATTAGTGATACACCCACCAGCAATAGTCATTATGGTACGTACCAGAGGACCCTGAAGTCCATCGGCGTCTAGAACATACAGTGTTAGCTTTCATGACGGCCAGAAGCAATGAATCTCAGAAGATGGCTGGGTGCAGTGAGACATTGTGGCGTCAGATGCACCAGCCCGACAAGATGCTTCGGAGAGTGAAACACATGATTACATATCAAGTCGCTTGCCAATGCGGGGCAAGGAAAAATCTAAGAGACTTACACTGCACCGAGTAGTGGGAGTGATACCAGGAACTGCCGTACTGGACCGCTTTGAAACTGTAGGTATATGAATCACCTAGACATCACCAGTCAGCAGGCTGAGATCTTTAGCAGATGAGGTACTTGCACCTACCAGGGGCAATTGGGCACTGTGTTACACCATTGACACCATCTGCATGTGCTGTCCGGTTCTGTCTGATGCCGTGCCAGTGGATCGAGGTCCCGTTGTGCGCCATCTTATTGATAACCTTGACGTTGACCGTGTCCCCCCAGCATGCTTGGATCCACGGCCCGGGGTATGTGTTGTTGAAGATCTTAGCCTCCGTGAAGTTCCGGCCATCCGCGTTGATCCAGCCATCATTGACAACCAATGTGTAGTTCCTTTGTACCCCAATGGGTGCTAGATTCTCATAGTCGGTCATGATATTGAACTCCCGTCCGTCCGGGTGCCGAAGCCAACACTCGCGATTGGAAGGTGTAGAGCAGGGACGCCATCCCTTCATGGCTCTATAGTCGCATCGAAATTTTGTGTCTTCAGGGCGGCCTGTAGGGGGCTTGAAGATTGGGTCGCCAGGGTTTCCATCGCCTATATGGGGCTTTGTGGACGTGGTAGCTCCAGTTTCTAGGACACTGGGGCCGACAGGCCATTCGAGAGAGTCAAGAAGGGGCCTCTGGACACCCCCAAATTCATTGAAGGGATCGAAGTTGGTGGGAGTGAGCCAAGTGAGCACCTCGGCGAGGGCTACCCAAACCCGCTCCGTAAGACGCATCTTAATACAATTTGGTCGCCCTGGAGTATGGTAATGAGACTTGAGAGAGAATTGGGCGGATTGTAAAAAAGAAGCAGCCTCCTTTGACAGGAGAAGGGCGAATTCCGGGACACATCTCATTTAAATGGTAGAGCAGCAACAAACTACCTATGTAATGTGGATTTTCCTGCCACCCGACTCCCTCTTCCTCTCTGCCTCGCTCACAGAAGGCCCGCTGTGGCTGATCTCACCAAGGTGGTCACGGAGCACCCTCCCACAGCTCGTGATGACCCCAGTCAGGGAGGCAACAACTGACTTGGTGTGCACCACGGAATCATCCTCGGCCTGACAACCTTGGAATGAGGCCATGGAATAATCAGAGGGAGTGGGTATAAGCCTCCTTCCGCTAAGCTACTCGATTTCTAGGATCCTTTGTCCAGAGCCCTCTTGTTATTCGTCGACGACGACCAAGCAGTCACGCTTCTGATGTCCCGAAGAGCGCTAGACACGTCGGAGAGGCGCCAATCGAGCGCTTCCTCGGCGGCCCTGCATCGTGATGGCGAGCTGAGAGAAGCTCAGACAGAGGCTTGGTGCCCGGCACAATAAGGATCTATTGTGGAGCTGAAGGCTTGGCGCCAGTCGTCTGAGGTGAGCCCGAGCAATCCGGTGAGGCGAAGGTTGTTGTGCGGCTGGGGGCGGCGCCTCAGATGCCAAGCATTTCAGGGCTGATGGATGGTCGAATTGCTGTCTAAGGCCGCGCCGGCCACGTTTTAGTGCCCTTTATTACTCAATCACATGGACCAATATGCTTGCTGTATAGCTTAATATAGGTATTCGGCTCTGCTTAGGCAGACCTGTTAGTGGAAAGTATCCCAGCATTTGCTGAGATCCGCGAGCAGCACTGCTTTCCTGCCAGGGAACACCACCCGAAGGCTGAATCATCTGCCCGGTGGCATGCGTGGAAGTAGAATATGTGTGCCACACTCGCAGTGATGCTTACTGGTCTGGAGGCTTCATTCTAGTCTGCCTGGGGAAGTTTTCATCGGGAGATCTTACCAAGGATAGTAAAGTGAGGCTACTCGTCATCGCGCGCAAGCTTTCCCGCGAGGCCTGCGCATGGCCGAGTTGCATTGAACGATATGAAGTGTGTCTCAGGTGATGCCGATTGGCCTTCGGTGACCTGCTGCTACCCTGGGGTAGCATTGCTGTGACTCCGATGAAAAGGTCACGGCCGAGCCTCACGAGATTACAGAGGCCCAGACTATCGAGCGCACCATGATATTTCTCCGGATTCTATTACTATAAGCGGTGGAATGCCACCTTGAAGCTGAGCTGTATACGTCTCTGCAGAGAAGGCCATATTGACCGGGATCGTAGATCATGGTGCCCCATACAACAATCACTGTCTGTTCTGTTCGGGGCCTTCTGCTCAGGCTGGTCGTTTTCATAATTCTCGCCCAAGGGTGCACCTTGGTCCACGTAGATCGCCCAAGTCCAGCTGAGAAAGTCACACGACCTGCTGTTTGGACGGCAAGCTCGCCGGCGCCTGCTTTATCTGAGGCACATTACTCTGAATATTCCGCTTTGCTTGCGCAGAAGTTACGTCTGTACGCTCACACAGCGCCATGAAGCGCTCCGATGCAACGCTCAACAACGAAGTCTGAGCTTTGCTAGGGAGGCGCACTTTACAAGTCGAGGTAAACCTGTCACGCCGCCGGAAAATCGACCACCTGGGCAATGGGGTGGCTTAACAATTATCGTGTGAGGCTATCCCGGTGTGAGACCTAATGCATGAGCCCATCGACCCATGCCTCTTTGGGGGCTGTAGGACAACACTTGACTCCGTTGTGAAACCGCAGATACGCGATTTCCTGCCGTGTCCAAGATGGCGCTGAATATCTATGGGGGCGGCAGGAGAGCCGAGACTGACCTGGGTTAGTCAAAACATACGTAGCCGGGTGGGAGCGAAACGTGTTGATCATAATACGACGTAGAGACAAAAGAGGGAAGCGCAGGGGTCGTAATATGCACTTCTCACACCGACAGGGAGTTCTTACACCTTTGAAAATGTGAGACCAAGCGGTGGAAAGCCCACCAATTAAGGCTAATTACTCATCCGTAGAAGGTACAACTTAGACATCATCAACTGCGAGAAGTATACAGATTGATGAGATAATGGTTCTATCCTTTGCATCTGCCCTCCAGAGAATGCCCGTACTAGCTCTTACATGTATCGGCCTCGGGAGACAGACTACAAATTTCGTCTGACTTCAGATCGGTCACTCATATGGCTGCAGACCCCGGCTGCTGATGTGATGGATGAATGGCCCCCGACTGATTATTTCCTGGAACAATTGCTCCTATCATTCATATGCTTACACAGTATCAACCAGCGACCCATGGACATTTTACAAAGGGCACCACCACGGGTACCTATGTATCTATGCGGTCATAGCTGAGATATCCTAGGAACCTGATCTTGAACATCCAACGAAAGTCGAAACTCCCCCGCGAGCCGTGCTGTTGGAAAGCAGACCGCAGTGCACGCCTCTCTAGATCAAAGTACCGAGCAGAGCCACAGCGCCGACAAGTGACGAGACAACGGTGAGACTGGCGTCGAAGATGGGTGCCGCCGCATTGGTGCTCTCGACAGTTGAGGATGGTGAAGCAGAGCTACCTGAAGCCGAGCCCGACGGGGTCGCGACAGAGCTTGATCCAGAGCTCGTGCTGCTAGAAGGCACACCTGAAGCGCTAGGAAGAACCGTCTGACTCGTAGAGGAATCTGCATCAGCAGATGAGGTGTCGTTCGGATTGGCGAGGGAGCCGGTGTAGTTTGCTTCTCCATACGCGCCTACGGTGTAGTATCCAAGGCCTCCGCCAGTGTAGTATTCAATGCCTCCGCCGCCTAACAAGTAAAATCATCCTGTATCAGCTCATGATCATTGAAGTTGCCCATGTAGTAGGCCAGCGTCGAGTCGGGATCAGAGCAACTCACAGGCATTGAGCATATAACCGGGGCACGGCTCGTCGCACTTGGACGCATCCACTTTCTTGTCGTCAGACGGCATGCTGTCAAGGCACAGGCAGTTTGACTTCCGGACCGCGAAGATGGTGCGATTCACCGCCCTGCAGTCTTCATTACACGCGAGGGGGGTGTTGAAATCCAGCGTGTGCTCATCGCCCTGGCCGGCGTCGAGGGCGTAGCAGTCGAACTCGGAATCGACCCTAGCGCTGAGGGTGTGGCCGGCTGCCGCGAGTTGGCTGAGAGCTAGCAGAAAGCTGACGTGAGTCTTCATTGTAGAGATAGGGTAAGAATGCCCGTGGCTGGCTGGCTGCGAGTGAGTGATTGGCTTCTGTGGGTGCAAAGACGCGTGAGCTGGAGACAGCAGGATAGTGTAGGCCCGTAAGCTGAACCAAGGTGCTGGGAATTCCCGTCCAGCAAGTTACGTCGATACATAATATACCGTGCTACGAACCCCTGATCCTTTCTCCAGTAGGAGATATTTTGATCGCATTTCGCCGCCAAGGATCCGTGAAGGATCCGGCCACTGCCAGGGATACGAGACTGTAGCCGCGTAGCTGCCTTGGAGCCCGTGTTCCTGCTGCTTGGCTCAAGTGCTAGCTCGGGCTTCTTCGAGTTGACTGCGTTGGCACGGCCTTTGCCGGCTCCACTCCCTTGAAACGGTCAAGGACAGCACTTCGGATACATGCTTAATAGCCAGCTCTTCTCTTGGACCTGTAACCAGATAAACAAGACAGCAGTGGATGCACTCAGAGACGGAACCACGACGTAAGGTCTCCAAGTCGCTCAACTGCAGCCTGCTAAAGTACCTACTTGGTACTCTTGGCCTTCATTTTCCTCCTTCTTCCCACGTTACAGCGCTAGCCCTGGTATGGATCCATTTTTCGGCTGTGCTTCCGAGAGCCAAAGGAAAAGTGGGCGGGCCGCAGGCAGCAACATATGAGATCACTTGTCACCTCACTTGTCGCCATTTAAGAATTGGCATTGTGTTCACGCTCCTTTTCCACCTCTTGATGCCCATGCATCCTCAGGAGATCCATCCTCCTTCGTGACTTCTCTTACGTTACAGATGAGAACGGGCGTAGCAGGGTCTGAGACCCATTCAACTGTTGAGAGGATGAAGGGAATTGGTATATTCTACCTTTCGCCAGGGCCCGAGTCGTACAAAAGGACTTTGCCTTGTAAAATCAAACTTGGTGCATCAAGATGTGGGTCCATGTGCGAGATGTCTCGGGTGTTGTTTGTCTCCCGACTCTCCTTTCCCGCCAGGTTGAGTGATCTGTAGCTCTGAAACTATGGAAAGTCATGGAAGCAATGAGTGTCTCGTCCGCTGGATTCCATTGCTCAATCTGTATTAGCCGGAATCGTGCAATATGAAGGCATCAAGACCGGTAGGATAGTTAGAACACCTGGAATGAAGGGTCATAGAGTCTGGTTTCACTCTAGTGACCGTCACTGACCTCGGGACAGTGCTCAATGTTGGACCAATTATGGATGCAATACTGTACCCCGTTCTTGTACACTCACAATTGAAGGGTCACACCAGAGTGTTGTTTGCCAAGCACAAATTATGAGAGTACAAGCCTGCTCATAGTATTCCCCAGGTGACATTACGGACGCAATGTTCAGACAATACTGCAGTTACTAGCACCCGATCGGTCATCATGAGCCCTACTTGCGCAGCAGCTACAGACGAGCGAGCTGGACTATAAAATCTGGGCACTCGTTCCTCCATACAATGAATGCTCGAGAGTGGACTGCAGTTTCCCAAGATACTACTGTCTAATCCTCTTCACGATAATTCCATTACCATGTCCACGACAGCTCTCCTCTCCATCGTTGTTGTTGCACTGCTTGCGAGGGTGGCCATTTCCGACACACCCAGCGATGTGATTTTCAAGTTGTGTGGCCCATTCTCGATTACCACGACTTCAGGCACACTCTATTCTCCGCCGAATGGGACACAGGTGCCTGGGGATTGCAGCACCAAGTTGGAGGAGGGCAGTTATTATATCTCTGAAGGAGGAAGCCTCATGACCAAGAATGGGTTCCTGTGCGAATTCAGACGTTAGTAGTACATCCCGGTGATGAAAAGTGGCCGAGCATTTTAACACTCCAGGCTGATACACGACACAACACACAGCATACCTGAGTTGTCTGCCCAACGTCACCCACTCTGCAGGAGATGGGAGATTCACCATTGGCGAAGGTGGAACCATACAATACGCCAACGAGACAAACTTCTACGGTTGCAACCTTGAAAGGAATGGATGTCCCTTCGAAAACCTACGAATTTTCCCCGGGTGTCATGTTCCAGTGGCAGTTGATGGGTCTGAGAATGGGACGACACCCTGCAACGTGCTTGGTATGCAGGCCTCCCGGTGCTTTGACCCGGAGGAGGCCCAGGACACCAGCCCAGCTTTGCGAGCGGAGCCTCCGTCCGTACCTAGCATGTCCATGCCTAGCTGCTGAGATGGTTGAATGTCGAAGTCGGAATACAGGAGGTGCCGATCAGAAGAGATGCATATTGACTGTGCTAGATTGGTCAACTGGTGGCCATCATGATGTAGTCGGCTGCGTGGGTGGTGGAGTTGAGCTTCAAAGGATGGCTGCCCAGGGAGCATGGTAATACACAGTGGTTGTCCTAGGTTGCTCCCCCGTATGGAGAGTGACCTGTCAAAACCAAAAATGGGCATGGATACTTGGAGTTTCTCGATTCCAAAACAAGCTTTGGGCTACACTGGCATGAGCAGTTGAGGTGGTGCTCACAAACCTAAACACTGCAAATGCTCTCAGCAAACCTCAAGTGCTTGGGCCAGCCTGCGACAAGACTCGGTTAAGCATTGAAGGTGTGTGGGCTCGATGCCGTTCAAATTGAGATCAGATACGTAACATAAGGCATCCAATCCCGCTCAATCTTGGCATAGAAGCAGAGTCATGAAGTATTATCGCTTATGTATAGGTTACAGCCGGCTATGGGAAAGGGAGGGGTGCAAGGTATAAACACAGGTACATGGCTCCGTCCTTAGGTACTGTAGTATAAAATGCAGGTGCGGTGTGGGGCTTTGGAGGTACACAGGCACATCGATAAGAAGATAACACCAATCGATTAGGGGCCCTGGCCGCTGCCCTGGGTGCATCACTGGTCTGCTGGTCTGGCCCCCTGACACCGCCAAAAATTTCCGCGGCAGAATAACCCCAACTCACCAGCTTGTACCCTCCCGCCTTTAGTTCACCAGCAACTTTCATCGCCCCAAGCCAACCAACACCACAGCAACTCCCCTCGGACAGCCCACCATAGCCCACATCATGGCCGGCACAACACACAAGAAACGATCGCGAGACGATGTGTCACGATCGAAAGCGGCACCCCCTCTCAAGAAACAAAAGAAGAAGCAGCAGCAACAGGTCCCCAGCCGCCGCGACGACTCCGACGATGCGGAGGAATTCCAGGCGGTCAACCTGCTGGACTCGGACGACGATGATATCCACAACGCCCAGGTAGACGACGGCGGGGACTCGGGGTCAGACGCCGACTCGGTCGGCTCCATGTCGAGCTCGGAGGACGAGAGGCCTAAAGCGGCGGCGAGGACAAAACCCGCGCGGCCGCAGCCGATAGCAAGGGACGTGCCCGCGAACAAGCTCGCCAGGGACGCACCGGGTGGGAAATCAAAATCAAAATCGGGCTGGGACGAGGACCAGGGAGACCAGAGTGGCGAGGAGGGCGAGGGCGAGAACGACGAGTACTCGGACCTAGACGACGAGGTCAGCTCCGACGATGACGACGACGACGACGACGAGGCCGGCTCGGGCGACGGCGGCGCACACGGGGAGGACCCCGCACGCCTCAAGCAGCGCACATCATCGTCCAAATCGAAGCGCAACGACCCCGAGGCCTTCGCGACGTCCATCTCCAAGATCCTGGGGACCAAGATCTCGGGCAAGAACCGGGCGGACCCGGTGCTGGCGCGCAGCGCGGACGCGCGCGAGCGGGTGCGGCAGGTGCAGGACGAGGAGCTGGAGCGCAAGGCGCGGCGGCGGCTGCGGGAGCAGAAGCAGCGGGCGATGGAGAAGGGCCGCGTGCGGGACGTGCTGGTGGCGACCAACGCGACCTTCTCCAACGTCAACCCCGTCACGGGCGAGGTGGTGGCGGTGGGCGAGGCGGGCGGGGAGACGACGGCCGACATACTGGCCACGGAGAGACGGCTGCGCAAGACGGCGCAGAAGGGCGTGGTGCAGCTGTTTAATGCGTTCCGCACGGCGCAGGTCAAGGCTGCCGAGGCGGAGCGGGCGGCGCGAAAGCAGGGGGTCATCGGCATGGACAACAAGAAGGACAAGGTCACCGAGATGAGCAAGAAGGGGTTCCTGGACCTGATTGCGTCCGGGGGCGGCGGGCTCAAGAAGGGGCCCATGGAGGAGGCTTGATGTGCCTGTCGTGTCGTGTCGTGGGGGTTGGGATTGGGAATGAATCGGGTCTGAAGCCAAGCCAGCCGTCTCGACCAACAAATCAGGCTGTTGATGATTGCACGCAGACCAACCAATTCATATCAAGTGTCTCGAGAGTAGGGTTCTCCAATTCGAGGCATGGTGGGCGCCATTTGCCCACGCAGCATTGCCGCTCCCCTGCCGGCGCACAGAGCACATCGGCGTCGTGGCAATACGTGTGTGTACATAGATACATATACAATGTTGGCCCCCATCCCGGAATGGGGGCTCATTAGATGATTACGGCCAACCTGCGCCTGGCCATTCAATGTCCTACGACAGATGCCCAGGCGTGTCTGGGACTCATCCCAACCCTCTCGACGGGATCTCTCGCAGTGACCAGTCCGTCTTGTTTCTTCATGGCATATCTTCCCATCTCCCTGCCTACTTGAAATCGCTAGCCTGTAGGTTCCTGGTCATGGAGGGCAGTTTGACCACCAGGCCGTCCAGCTCTGGGGCCATGACGACCTGACAGCCCAGGCGGCTGGTCTCGGTCAGGCCGAAGGCAAGATCCAGCATGTCGTTCTCGTCATCGTCGGGCTCTGGCATCTTGTCGTAGAGGTCCTCGTTCTGGACTATGACATGGCATGTGGAGCAAGCGCAGGACCCGCCGCATGCGCCTGGAGAAGGAGCGGAAGTGTCAGCAAAAAGACCAGGCAAGGCAAGGCAAGGTCGGGAAAACATCTTGACAAGAATAAGAATGCGCACCTTCCATCTCGAGGTCATGGGCCTGGGCTATGTCGAGCAGGTTGTCGCCCTTCGACACGGCCAGCTTGTGCTCTAGGCCGTCCTTGTCGATGAAGGTGACCCAGAGCTCCTCGCCGGGCTTGGGGGGGTCGACGTGGCCGTGCCGCGTGGAAGGGGTGGCGGAGAAGGATCGCGAAGCTGGTATCGAAGGGGCGGGCCGCCGGATGGCCCGGCGGGAGGTCGACGGGGCGGCGAGGGTTCTGGGGGCAGCTGCTGTTGCGGGGGCGGTTCTCGTGGTCCCGAACTGGCGGGCCAGCTGTGGGGAGGGCGTTGTTGGCGTCGAGGAGGGCCGCAGGCGCATCAGAGCCCGCGCATATGTTCGTAAAGTTGCCATAGCTGAGGTTGAGGGGGGGCTGCTGCTGCTGTAGAGAGCGAGAGATGGAGGTTCACAGATTGGAGGGGCGAAGGAGGAAGATAGAAACGGAGAGGCGGCAGAGGAAGGTGGCGTCTATAGATATGGGCGGCGAGGTCGAGGTGGTGGTTCGGTTCTGCCTCGCCAACGCGACCAGCCAATGCGCCGAGGGTTGAAGATGTGAAGGCTGCTTGCTGCTCTGGATGTTAATGCAGGTTGGCTGCAGCTCGACTCGCTTGGAGGGTGCGTGTGTGTGAGGGTGAGTGAGTCGAATATTGCGCAGATGTGTTGGGCCGGGTTCCAGTCCTGACGTGCATCTAGTCTGCCAGTCTCTGTCTCTCAGATCAATCCCCTCCAGTCCCGCCCGTCCTGTGCAACGCCAATGCAAGAGCTCGGGATCGTCAGCAAAATTCGAGACAGGGATCTGATGTAGTCGTTATCGATAACGATAACAGAGTCTTGTTATGTAATCACCGTGTTTATGTACTCCGTACATGGGAAGGTGAGAGCGAGTCGCTCATCAATAAGACGGGCAGATAATAGGAAGGAACGGTGAACAGCAAGCATCTAGTTGCTAGTCTAGCACAGCATGATGAGAGTTTATGCACCTCCATGCATGACGCGACCCCCCAAGCCATAGCTCCCAAGGTTCCAAGTTTTGTTTATTACCAACCCGGGTCTCTTATCCATCATCAGCACCCAAACGAGCTCACATCCTTCCAAAAGTGGGCGGCACACCCCCCAATCTGAAAGCTCTTCGCTTGTTTCCCCGCCGAGAGCCCCATCGCATCGCGTCGCATCACCCAACACCACCAAAACCCACCATCAAACATCAACACCACCGCCGCCACTTCCACACTTGACCTCGACGACGCCTGCAGGCCCATTGACGACCACCGATTCAACCACGATTCCATGCGACCATGATCCACAGCGTCCAGCCGAAATAAAACCCCCCATTTCTTTTCTCTGACACCACACACGTGCGCACCCGACCTCGTCCTCGACCTCGTCCATCCGGCTGCAAATCGCCCGAATCGCCCTCCAGAAAATGTCCGGCAACGGCAACGGCTCCAGCAGCCGGCCAGGAGTCAACCCCCTCCGACCTTACTACATCCCTCCTACCATTGGCGATCAGGCCCCCCAGACATCAAACATCCCCGGCCCAACCGCCTTCTCCCGCAACGGCCCCTCGCCGCCCACATCGTCGCCCTCGACCTCGCTCTCGTCACATGCCAGCCCTCCCGGCCAGTACGCGTCAAAGGCACGCGACATCTTCTCCGACCTCGACTACAAGGACTACATCTCAGACCCCTCGCCCTCCGTCGTCCGCTCCGTCAAGGATCTCGTCGACGAGCTCATCTGGAAGTACTCCTCCGTCTTCCTGGCCCAGCCCTTCGAGGCCGCAAAGCTGCTGCTGCAGGTCCGCGCCCAGGATGACCTCGGCGGCCTCGCACACTCTTCGCCTCTGGCACCACCCGCCCAGGTCTCCACCAAGGCCGCCTTCAAGAGCCCATGGAACGAAGACGTAAGCCCGCCTCGCCTTATTGTCTTGCCCCGAACTACGCATTTATCACCCGTTCAGACCACTGACACCACTACATAGCTCCCTGATTCCGACTCCGAAGGCGACGAGCCTGCCTACTTCACATCCACTGCCCCGAATACGCCTTCTCCAGCGCGCACGAGGAGGAGGAGATCCACCACACCACCGCCAGACTCCCCCCAGCCGACCAAAAAGCCAGACCTACCACCTCACATCCTCAACATCAGCCGGTCTGATTCCATAAGCGAGGTCTTGTCGCAACTATGGCAGAGAGAAGGCGCCTGGGGCACCTGGAAGGGGACCAACGCCACATTCGTGTACACCGTCCTGCAGTCGCTGCTCGAGAACTGGTCCCGCAGTCTGCTGAGTGCTCTTTTCGACGTGCCAGACCTGGGCTTAAAGACCGATCTGGACAGGCTCGTCGACATTGCATCACCTTACCCGTGGGCATCCCTTGGTGTGGCCGCCGCCGCCGCCGTTATTACAAGCCTTGTCCTCTCTCCGCTTGATCTTGTTCGCACGAGGTCAGTCCCCTTATACCTGCTATCCGACCTTGTGCGCCGTGCTCACTGACCCCGTTCAGGCTGATAATCACGTCCACAACACGTGGTCCACGACGAACAATCGCCCTATTGCGCTCCCTCCCCTCCTACCTGTGTCCCTCGGGCCTCGTCATGCCCACTGTGCTGCACTCCCTGGTGCATCCCGTCCTCGCCCTCTCCACGCCCCTGGTCTTGCGCACAAAGTTCCTCATCGACAGCGAGTTGTCACCCGCCACCTTCTCGCTCGCCAAGTTTTGCTCCTCCGCCGCCGCCCTCATCATCAAATTGCCCCTGGAGACTGTCCTGCGGCGCGGTCAGGTCGCCGTCCTCAGCCAGCCCAGCTACAATCAAGCAGCCAACGGAGACTCCGGCCCGGCCGCATCGAAACCCGCAAGACATACGGGCGGGGCTAGGACTACTGCGGCTGCCACCACGACATCTCTCGAAACTATCGTGTACCCCGGCAGATACAACGGTGTAGTCGGCACCATGTACACCATCGTGAACGAGGAAGGATCCCGCGCCGTCCACGCAACACCATCGCCAGCAACCGCCAAGGGGAAGGCTGCCTCTAAGAAGGGCAAGAAATCGGTCACCGAGGCCGTCTATCGTCGTGGCCAAGGGCTGGACGGCCTGTGGCGGGGGTGGAAGGTCAACACCTGGGGTCTGGTCGGGCTCTGGATGGCCTCGGTCGCCGGCGGCGGCGGCGACGGGGAGTTTTGATCAGGGGGGATGATGATGTCGCCAGCGGTGGTTGTGGTTCTTCTCTGAAAGACATGTCCAATACGACTGCCCGCCTTGGGGCTTCTCCCTGTCCCGAAAGGGCGTTGGGATTTGGAAGAGGCAGATAGACAGACAGACCCTCACCACAACGGAAAACGGCGCGATCTTCTTCTATTCATCAAGGCAGCGGGAGTTTCGGGTGAACTTGAACTGGGCTGGGCGGGGCGGGTGCACTCTACTCATGACCATCGAATGATATCCTCTTCAGCTTGATATATATTGCCATGAACTCGTGCAAATTAGTCGGTGTTGTAGTCTCATACAGGAAATGATGATCCAGCAGCGTAGACGCACTGCTTTCAAAAGATCTAAGCGCTCCTCCCTATTGGAGCCAGGCTGATTGTTACCCGACGATGAACTTGGAGTCCTGTCGCGTCCCGTGGGGTCGTTCCGAAGCGTGGGTGTGTAAGTATGTCTAGAGGCACGGGGGCAGCGTAGATGTCCTATCGTAGGGTATTCTATGTGAGGTTAAATCTCACAGTGTGGTGTTCCGATGGTGGCTAGAAGGGTATTGTTCTATGAGAAGTCGTCCTATAGAAGACGGTGTCCTAGAGAACTCTCTGAGTGAGCTTGATTTTCCGCTATTTTCTGGTATCAAAACGTCGGCGAGGAGCCTCCTTCCTTGGCTTGATGTATGGCACGATGAAGGGTGCTCTCGGCTTCTGCTAAATAGTTGCTGAAGTTGTCTCGTTCCCACTTAGATCATGGATGTATGTTGAGTAAGTGCCTTCGTTCTTAATCCGTATGCCTCCCGGAGGCGTACGGTCCCCTTCACATGGTGGTAAACGCTCAAAGATCCAGCGTTGAACCAAAAAGAACGCATTCCATGGATGCTAACAAGGGTGTAGGGAGGCTCTGCCTGGGCATGTGGATTGGTTGGTAAAAGGACTCTCTGGCTGACTACAACCTAGGTGGACAGTACCTCAATCTGACCCTACGTAATTGTAGCTGTGTGCGGTGCGTTTTCCAGGATCCTGGGTGTGGCCGTCCTGGTCATATGCAGTCAGTTGTGACTGGAGCAGGATTTCTTGGCCAAGTTATGTTACTTTTGGAGGGGTGACATCTGGGCCGCATGGGCTTCGTCGGGGGCTTCGTCGGAATCCGGGGCTTGAGCTGTCACTTGCCTGCCCCCGGTGGGTACTGGCTGACTGGGTGCGCATGTGGAAATGTCTTACTGCGGTCTACCTTGACTATTACCTAGTCGCATACATCAGTTGCAAGTCAATGCTACGCTGTGGCATACCTATGCCCCGGGTCTTGGCGGAGCACGATGTGCCGCGGGAGAAGGGCGCCGAGATTGCCTATTGCGGATGCCCCATAAGGCTGACGATGCCTGTTTCTTTTCGAGAGCATGCAGACAAATGATCTGATCACAGGTCATCGGGGGCACACCGCTCGCACCAGTGCCTGCTCCAGCCTTGGATGTTGGAGGATGGAGCGACTCGGTGGTGGGTGAACAGCTGGATGGGGTCGTTTATTGGTGGACTGCGGCATATCCTGGAGCGTATGTATGCACCCCATGGGCGCATCCGGCTTGTGAATATGGATGGCTTCCGAGGAAGGTTGTGTTTGGGCCTCAGGTAAGCTGGAATAGGGGTGACGGTGGGGGCTCCAAGTCGAGAAGAAAAGTATCGCGGAGGTCAACGTTGATGGCCCCCTTCCAGGATGGGGAATTATGTCCGACGATACTTTGGACAGCGTCCGTAGCTCAGCTTCTATTGACGGAATGCTGTTTCTCGGATACGGACTGCATCTTGTTGGACACTTGGGACGTGACAGGCGTACTTCATTCTGCCAACGGGGTCCATGAGTACATATACGAGAGCACGAACACCTCGTATCTCATGAACCACACATATGTATTACACGTTGGAGACAGATATCCGACGAATTATTAGAAGATAGCCATGTCCTCCAAGCACATCATCAGCCTCATTGCGGGAGCTGCCACCGTCGTGGCTCACGGACATGTCAGCAATGTAGTCATCAACGGCGTTTACTGGCAGGGATACGACGCGGGCAGCTTTCCCTACATCCCCAATCCTCCCATCGTGGCGGCATGGGCATCCTCCAACCTCGACAATGGCTTCATCGCCCCGGACGCGTTCCAGACGCCAGACATCATCTGCCACAAGAACTCCACCAACGCCGCCGCCCACATACCCGTCAAGGCGGGGGACTCCATCTCGATCCAGTGGACGCCCAACTGGCCCGACAGCCACCACGGGCCCGTCATCGACTACCTCGCCAGCTGCGGCGCCTCGTGCGCGACGGTGGACAAGACGACGCTCAAGTTCTTCAAGGTCGACGGCGTGGGCTTCATCAGCGGGTCCGGCATCGGCACCTGGGCCGCCGACGTCCTCATCCAGCACAACTCGACCTGGCTCGTGAGGATCCCCGCCGACCTCGCCAGCGGCAACTACGTCCTGCGCCACGAGATCATCGCCCTCCACTCGGCGGGGAACCCCAACGGCGCCCAGAGCTACCCGCAGTGCCTCAACCTCGCCGTCACGGGCACGGGCTCCGCGCAGCCCAGCGGCGTCCTGGGCACCGCGCTGTACAAGGCCACCGACCCGGGCATCCTGTATGACCTCTACGGCCCCACCACGCAGAACTATCTCGTCCCTGGGCCGACGCAGTACGCGGGGGCGCCAAGCTCGGTCGCACAGTCCAGCTCTGTTGCGACGGCCACGAGTACGGCCATCCTGGGGTAGTTAAGGGACCGGTTTTGGCACGGTGCCGGGTTGAAGCATGGTCACTGTGCCCGGAGTTGTGGCCTTGATCGATGTTGAGGAGGGGGTGCATTAGTGTCAGGGACGGGACTCAGGGGAATGCCCATCTGTGATTCCTTGGTCCAGATACGCCGACTGTGGTCGTAGGTATTACGAATGCCGTCGGGCTAACTTCAAGGTCGGTGAAGACGCCTGCTGTGCCTAGGTATTTCATTGTTGGGGTCCCGACGTGGGATGAGAGACGCGACTTCCCATAGTGATTTTGTGAATAGCCACATGTACTCGCGAGAATTACACGTGTACACGTGCTGGATGATAGTCACAGTTTCTCAATTGCGATTTGAGAAGTACCAGCTGCATTGATCACAATTTTGTCTGTTGCTGCAGTCCATGCCTAACACAATTCAGGCTACAATTAGTCCCGAGCTAATATCTTCAACGTGCCAGTGGTGACCATGTTCTGAAGTAGGGGCGGAGACATGTGTCATGAAATGTAACGAGCCAATAAATTCGAAATAGTTAACTACAATCTTGTTCCAACCGTCTTTGCGTGTCCGTCGATTGGTGTGCAAGTTGTACTGGCCTCGTAAGTAGCCTAGCCCTCACCGAGTCACCGACGAGCCCACCCGTGGACCGTTTCACGTGAGAGATTATCGTGTTCAGGGATACGGCGTACTCGAAGCTTGGCCTGATCGCCGATTCGGACACGATTCGGGAGGCGAATACAGGAAAACGAGGCGAGACAACGACTTCCCCGGGACAGCCGGCACATGCGCCGCACACATGGCACCGGGTTAGCCGAGGGCAAGACGGCCGGCTAGCTGAGCGTACAGCAGGATTATTGTGGGTGTCGTGGGAAGTATCCAGTTAATCGGATCAGTTGCAGTCGATATCTGGACGGAATGTGGCCGTGTCGATAATCTCCGGGCTGCACTTTTTTCTTGTTTTGTGGCGACTGTCTGGGGTGCCGCCGTCTGGAGTATTGCGTTTGGATGCACGCTTATCAATTGGGGGCGCTGTATCGTATACAGTAGTGGAAAGAAGCTTTCCAGCCAAGGATGGAGCGTTGGTGGATCCACGCGGCCTTGCTGTGCTGTGTGGGCCGACTTCGTGATGGACCATCTGTACTAGACTCGGATGGGTTCCACGAGAGAGGTACTCAGATACTGTGGAAGTCGGATTTACAGAAGCAGAGAAGGCTGGCCCGTCATCTCAACCATGAAGGATTCTGCATATGCACTATGCCATTGCGGAAGAGATGTGCGCCTGGTAGAGCTCGTTGAAGCAATGATATCCTCGCCATGACGAAGTATTGTTACATTGTCTGGTGGAGATCCCAGCCCGGGGAATACAAACACTTGAAAGGATCGTCGCCGAGGATGGTCTGCCGAACTCGGAACCGCTGGCCGATATGCTTACGGAGTACTCCCCTGACTCCGTACATGGATCATTGGACAAATCGCTGTGATTTGTTTGCCCGAATCCCGGGGAGGTATGTGAGGATCTGCAGGTCCTTTTGAGCCTCAAAAAGCTGGCCTACAAAGGCCTGGTTGGCTACAAGCCCCTCGTGGGCCGAATCGTGAGGGATATCGAGTCTTTTTTCCTCGCCTGGCTCGTCTTCATGGACGCGTCCCAGCAAGTGGCCCCAGAATAATATACCCCGCGAGGCTCCGCGGAACCTGGCCAAGACCCACAATATGACGGCATGCTGGGGACGGCTTGCCCCACTCTCGTGTGGTCCTCGCTCACTCGCGAAGATCAGAGGCGATCGCACACGGATGCCCCGGCTTTGTCTGCCTGCTGCTAGTCAAAGTTCCATCCCACAGTCCCAGCAGCCATGAGTGACATTGTGAGTTCAATGTTGTTTCAATGGCCCAGGTTCGTGCCACTATTTTGTACGGAGTACCCTGACTACTTGCACCGACTCCATACAGTAGCGCCACAGTAAGCAAAGGAATTGCACGCCCACCGGCACAGACTCGACTAGCGAATCACAAGCCATCCGACACGCGAGAGAACAAAATGCCGCACGCCGGATGTCTAACAAGCCCATATCATTTGCTAATTACCTCACATATTCCCTGGTTTTCCATCATGTGGGCCCTCTCTGCGCGACTTGCACGCCCGGCCGGGCGAGAGCAGATGGTGACAGCGTGATACGATTGATGGACGTGCAGCTGGGCGAGGCCGAAAAAGCGAGAGCACGGATCAGACGGGCTCCAGCGCTGGGTTGGTGAGGGAAAAGTCCCTCAGGTAATAATGTAAAATGTCTCACGACGAATTCATTCAAGAGAGCTCGTGGTGCCCCGTCCGCTCGCCTTTTAGATCCAGATGTTTTTTTGTTTTCCAACGGTTCCCTTTTGCGGTCCCTAGTTCTCCTACAATCCGCGCACACTACTTCCGGTAGCAGGTGGTCGTGTATCCAGTGGTAGGCGTTCTCAGGTGACCGTTCTTGGTGCCCTTTCCTACTCCATTGAATTCTCCCACAGGAACGGTCGAGATGGCGTTCGGACGCCATAAAGAAGAGGGCAACCACGCCGCGCATGCCGACGACGTGGAGGCTTCGGCCTCGGTTCGCACCCGGGGGGGTCTCAGCCACGATGTCGACGACAGCGAGCTGCCCGAGTATGAGGCCCTGGACCGGTTCATCACCAGATACGATGCAAGCGGCGAGGAGAAGGGTCACGGGGAAGAGGAGGACCGCAAGAACAAGAAGCCCCCATCGCTTCTCAAGCTGATGTTCAGCAGCGACCTCGAGGTCGAGCAGAACCAGAACCTCGTCCCTCCCGACGCGTGGCTCGAGACAGATATGCGACAGGGTATCTCCGATCACGATGTCGAGGAACGCCGCAAACGTTTCGGCTGGAACGAGCTCACCGCCGAGAAGGAAAACCAGCTGAGGAAGTTCATGGGCTTCTTCCAGGGTCCAATTCTCTACGGTGAGTGGGCTTGCGATTGATATACCACAAAGGATAATAGCAGTTTAATCTGACGTGCACTTATCAGTAATGGAAATTGCCGCGCTGCTCGCTGTCGGTCTGAAGGACTGGATTGACTTTGGTGTCATTGTTGGTATTTTGATCCTCAACGCCGGCGTCGGATGGTATCAGGAGAAGCAGGCTGCCGATGTCGTCGCCAGCTTGAAGGGGGATATTGCCATGAGGGCTACTGTCGTCCGCAATGGCAAGGAAGAGGAAATTCTTGCGCGAGAGCTCGTTCCCGGAGACATTGTCATCCTCCAGGAGGGCCGAAGCATCCCCGCCGACTGTCAATTGATCTGCGACTACAGCCGCCCGGAGGACTACCACGAGTTCCAGAAGCTCAAGAACGAGGACAAGTTCAGCGGCGACACCGACTCTGGCGAGGAGACAAGCAATGAAAAAGGCGCCGACAAGGAGGCCGATCACGACGACGACGACGCAAGGTCTATTCACTACGGCTTGCCTCTGGTTGCCTGTGATCAGTCCGCCATCACTGGCGAGTCGCTAGCTGTGGACCGATACATGGGAGACGTCGTATTCTACACGACTGGTTGCAAGCGAGGCAAGGCATATGCCATTGTCAAGACTTCTGCGCGCTACTCGTTTGTGGGAAGGACTGCCTCTCTTGTTCAAGGCACCCAGGACCGTGGTCACTTCAAGGAGGTTATGGACAGTATCGGAACATCTTTGCTCGTTCTCGTCATGTTCTGGATCTTGGCTGCATGGATCGGTGGCTTCTTCCGTCACATCCCCATTGCTTCCCCCGGCGTGCAGACTCTCCTGCACTACTCACTCATCCTATTCATCATTGGTGTGCCCGTCGGTCTCCCTGTCGTCACCACCACCACCCTCGCCGTTGGTGCTGCATACCTGGCCAAGCAGAAGGCAATTGTCCAGAAGCTCACTGCCATCGAGTCCCTTGCTGTAAGTCTCATGACTCGTCCAACGCGTGTAGTATTGTGGTCTTGGCAGCTTTGTACTAACACGATTTATCCCTCAGGGCGTCGATGTTCTCTGCTCCGACAAGACTGGCACACTGACCGCCAACAAGCTTAGCATTCGCGAGCCATACGTGGCCGAGGGTCAAGATGTCAACTGGATGATGGCCGTTGCCGCACTGGCCAGCTCTCACAACATCCAATCTCTGGACCCCATCGACAAGATTACTATCCTGACCCTCAAGCGTTACCCCAAGGCACGCGAGATTCTGCGCCAAGGATGGATCACCGACAAGTTCACACCCTTCGACCCTGTTTCCAAGCGTATCACTTGCGAATGCCGACTTGGAAAGGACCGCTACATCTGTGCCAAGGGTGCTCCCCGAGCCGTTGTGGACCTCGCCAACTGCTCGGCCGAGACCAAAAGCTTGTACAACCTGAAGGCCAAGGAGTTTGCTAGCCGTGGATTCCGTTCTCTTGGTGTCGCGGTCAAGAAGAACGATGAGGATTGGCAACTGCTTGGCATGATCTCCATGTTTGACCCGCCCCGTGAGGACACTGGCCAGACAATCATTGAGGCGCAGGCTCTCGGTAAGTACCAAGCACAATCCTTTGCCGCCCGAAGAGGCAAGACTATGGTGCTAATTCTCTCGTCTAGGTGTTCCCGTCAAGATGCTTACTGGTGACGCTATTGCTATTGCCAAGGAGACTTGTAAGATGTTGAGTCTCGGCACCAAGGTCTACAACGCAGAGAAGCTTTTCAACAGCGGCCTGTCTGGCAGCTTGCAACATGACCTCATCGATCGCGCGGATGGTTTTGCTGAGGTGTTCCCCGAACACAAATACCAAGTTGTCGAGATGCTTCAGCAGAGGGGATCCCTCACTGCCATGACTGGTGACGGTAAGCATTGCCCCTTTTACGGCCTCGCAAAGACTCTTGCATTTCTCTTGCACTCAGCTTCTTGAAAAGCGTTGGTGCTAACGACTTTACCACAGGTGTCAACGACGCCCCTTCGCTCAAAAAGGCCGACTGTGGCATCGCCGTCGAGGGCTCCTCCGAAGCAGCGCAAGCCGCGGCAGATATTGTCTTCCTCTCTCCCGGTCTCAGCACGATCGTTCTCTCCATCAAGACGGCTCGACAGATCTTCCAGCGGATGAAGGCTTACGTGGAGTACCGTATTGCTCTTTGCATCCACCTTGAGATCTACCTCACCCTCTCCATGATCATCCTTAACGAGACTATTCGACCGGATCTCGTCGTCTTTATTGCGCTGTTCGCTGATTTGGCTACTGTTGCTGTTGCTTATGACAATGCCCATGTTGAGCCTCGGCCCGTCGAGTGGCAGCTACCCAAGATTTGGGTTGTCAGTCTCATCTTGGGCTCGCTGCTGGCCGTTGCCACTTGGATCATTCGTGCCACGATGTTCCTTGAGAACGGCGGTATCATCCAGAACTTTGGTTCGGTCCAAGAAGTGCTGTTCCTTGAGGTTTCTCTTACTGAGAACTGGCTCATCTTCGTCACTCGCGGTGGCAAGACGTGGCCTTCGTGGCAGCTTGTCGGTGCTATCTTCGTCGTGGACGTCCTCGCAACCATCTTTGCCTTGTTTGGATGGCTGTCCGGCTCGGGCGGGGGTGTCATGCGGACTTCTCCCGAGACCATCTTCGAGAACTCCGCTAATGGCTGGACGGACATCGTTACTGTGGTCATGGTCTGGGCGTACTCGATCGGTGTGACCATCTTCATCGCCATTGTCTACTACCTGCTCAACAAGAACCCGTGGCTGAACGACCTGGGCCGCAAGAACCGGCGCCACAAGGACACCGTGCTTGAGAACGCCCTCTTGCAGCTGAACAAGGTTGCCATCGAGCACGACAAGAGCCCCGAGACGGGCTCGGACCGGTACTACCTTGTGGAGAAGGCCGCTGCGGAGGACGACGATTAGACGTAATAAGTGTGCATCCCGCCATTCTCGGTGGCGCGGCTGGTTTTTATTGAAAACTTAATCTGTTATGTAGCAGAGGCAAATCCCATTTAAAGTTAATTAGCACAAACATCAGTTAACAAACCATCTACATACAACGCCTCATTTGTGAGCAATGCAATTTATCACCCAGGCAGATACCCCAGCCAGGTCTGCTTCAAACTAAGAGCATAGAGTATATAAATTGAGACGATTCACCGCATTCGGTGCCGAAACTGCAGTTGCTTTCAGGTGCATAATATTCACAGAATTTCTCTTGACGCAGGGGCAATACAGGCAACGTCCTTAGCATTGTGAACATCCAGAATAATAACCATGTTCATGAGACCTTGATCACGTTGACAAAGAAGGAAAACATCTCAACAACACTTCCTAGGGGTTTAACAGCGGGCCACCGTTCAATGTTGAGTATTATTAGCCGCAAGGGAAGATACAACAAGTAAATCAAAGTGATCACCGAGGGCTCCATAAATTGTAATACATGTCAATCTTAAAAAGTAGCCTACCTTACCTAGGGGTAAGACCTTCGGTTACCCACTACACCTGCTAGCCAGCATAAGGGGATAAAACCCCTATATTTAAAAACCTTATATATTTAAAATAAATAAAATATTATATTTAACTTAATATAACTAATTTAAATAGAAATAATATTAAGTAATATAAGTATTTTATAAGTTTTATTATTAAAATAATTTATATAAAATATAAAAATAAAGTAAAAAAATATAAAATTTATTTATATTATTTATATTATTTATATTATTTATATTATTTATATTATTTATATTATTTATATTATTTATATTATTTATATTATTTATATTATTTATATTATTTATATTATTTATATTATTTATATTATTTATATTATTTATATTATTTATATTATTTATATTATTTATATTATTTATATTATTTATATTATTTATATTATTTATATTATTTATATTATTTATATTATTTATATTATTTATATTATTTATATTATTTATATTATTTATATTATTTATATTATTTATATTATTTATATTATTATTTATATTACTTTTAAAAGATTTAATTTAAAAAATAAAGTTTTAATATAAATAAAATTTAATATATAATTTTAATTTTTAAGTTATTTTAATATTATATTGAAAATAAAAATATTTTAATAAATAAATATTAAAAATATTAAATTAAAAAATTAAATATCTTATTTTTAATATTTTTAAAATTTCTAAAACTACACTTTTTATTTTATATTATTTTTATTTAAAGGCGTAATATTATATTAAGTATAACATTTTATTTCTCTTAAATATATAAGGGTTTGAACTGTGTGGGGTTTTGGTGCTCACTGTGCTAGTAGTAGGTTCCTCGGAGCGACAGCAAACCCACGGGTATCCCTAAACAATTTTGTTCCACGTAGGTAGTTTTTCTAAAGGCTAGTTATCCTTTCTAACGTCCACCACAAGAATGGTCGCGGTGACATAGCTACTAAAGGCATCTTCCACGACGGTCTAAGCAACTATTTGTGATACCCTAATCAGTGAATCCTCGCTTCCAGCATGCTTCCACAAACGTGAGCTTGGTACAAAATCACGCAGTGAATCAGAAATGGTCCAAAACTTCTTACCCCCCTCCCCCACCACTGATAACAATCTCAGTTTACTCTCTTTCCACGACAGGCAATGATCTAATGATATGCGAATTTTCAAGGAGACTGGAAATCGCCTATTGCTTGCCGTGCATTTCAAAATGGATATTAAGTGGGGTTTTCAAGGGAGCGGGGTCAGCAATTCTCAACAGGCATGCAAGGCATCTTCCCATCATCGAGACCCCGTTAAGGGGCGGAATCCCTTTCTATTCGATTCAAACTTGCAGTGACAGGTCTGAGACGCTGTACCTACTCCGGTTCCAAAAAGCTAGACCAATCTCATTTCATCAACATGTGCCCCCTGATATGCCTAAGCGGGTCCACCCGTTGCGACTCATCCTCGGCCATCCACACCAAAAGATTGTAAGACAGTGAAACGTTGAACGAGACAGGTCGTACCTACAAAACTATGTTGGTGATGGTTGAGAGTCATTGAACTGCTAACGCAGCTGGCATTGGTTGATTGCGGATCTTTACCTTAGACATCGATATCTAAATCGACTAACGTAGCCAGCCCACATTCCGACCGCCCCCTAATTTCAACCACCCTACATCAAGCTAGCATCCACTTGCGTAGCTTTAACCTCCACCTACCTAGTATTTTCTTTCAACCTACTTAATACTTATTTTTATATATAGAACTTATACAAATTTATACACTTAATTAAAGCTTTTTAAATTTTTAATATTTTAAATATAAATTTCTTTTTATTTTTTAAAAGTTATTTTTAATATAATTACTTTACGTATAAATTAATTAATTAAATATTAATTAAATATTTAACTTTTAATTAAGTATTTCAATATAAATTAATTATTAAAAATAAAAAGCTTAAAAAGTTAAAAAGTTAGAAAAAATATTAAAGAATTAAAGTAAATAGAATTTTATTTTTAATTTTTAATTTTTAACTTTAAATATTAAATTAATATTAAAATACTTAGTAAATATTTAAAAATAAATATCTTTAAAAGATATTAAAAGGGGTATTAAAAGCGATATTAAAAGGTTTAAAAGATTTTATATTTAAAATATTATAAATTTAAAGAAATAAAATACTTTTAATATTAACTTAAAGAATATTTATAAATAAAAGTTTAATAAATAAATATTAACTTATATATATATATATATATATATATATATAATAATTTATTTTATTTTCTTTATATTTTATTATAAATTTATAAAAGAATTTTTAATAAATAAATTTTAATTAAATATTATTAAAATTATTATAAAAATATATAATAAAATTAATAATACTTTTATAATAATTTAAAATAAGAAACTTTTATAATAAACTTTATAATTAAATATAATATATATATTATATATATTATTAATCCTTTTATTTTATTATTAAAATAATAATAATAATAATATAAGGTATATTAATAAAATTAATTATAATTATTATATTCTAAAAGTATTTTAATTTAAGTAAATTAATTAAATTAAATTTAATAAAACTTTTTATTAAAAGTTAAATCTTATAATAACTATATATTAATAAAATAATATACTTCTAACTTTTATTATTTATTTATTTTATTAATTTTTAAAATATATAATAAGATAAACTTATATATTTTAAATTTTAAAATAAAAGTTAATATATAAAATCTTTTAATTAAAGTATTTAAAATATAATAATTTATAAGTTTATTTTAAAAATAAATTAATTATAATAATATATATTAATAAATAATAGTTTTAATTTATAATGTAAATTAAAATTATATTCTTATAATTAAAATATTTATAATATATTATTTTATAAATTAATTTTAATTTTAAGTTAATAAAAATAATAAATTTAAATTTTTATAATTTAAAAGCTTTATTTAATAAATATAACTATAATTTAAAATTATAATATTATAAAAGTTAATTATAAAATAATTTAACTATTTTAAATATAAAGTTAAAAACTTATAATTATAAAATTTTAATTAAACTTTAATTAACTATTTTATTATATTATAACTTAAATTAACTTTATTTAAACTTTTATTAAATCTATTTAATATTCTTTTAAGTAAATTTAATTTAAATTAAAACTTTTAAGCTTAAATTTAAAATTTTTATAAATTTTAATTTACTTTAAATTAAACTTATAATCTTTTAACTTTTAAAAATATATTAACTATTTTAAATAATAATAATCTTTCTTTAAAATAAAAATCTATTTTATATTATTATAAATCTTATTATTAATAATTATTTTCTTTTATTAATAAACTATTAAAACTATAAATTTAAATAATAAAATATAATTACTTTATTTAATTATATTTTAATTTAATTAAGTAACTACTTTTAAGTAGTTTTATTTATAAAGTTAATAGTCTTTTAAATTTATTAAATAAATATTTATTTAAATAAAGTTAAAACTTATATATATCTTTTAAAGAAATAATAATTTTATTTTTACTTATTTTAATTAAATTATTTAAATTATATAATAAATTTAATACTTTTATATAATAATATATATTAATATTAAATTAAATATCTTATAATTTATAATAGTTTTAACTTTTAATAAGTTAATAATATTAATAAAAATTTATATAACTTAATATATTAATATAAAAGGTATTTTTAATAATAAATTTAATTAAATTAATTTTAAAATATATTATATTTTATTTTAAAGCTTTAATATTTAATTCTTATTTAATAATAGAATTAAAAATATATAAATAGTTTATATAATAATATAATATAATAATTTCTTTTGAAATTATAAAACATTTAATAAATATTTATATTTTAATAAATATATAAAAATAATAATATTTTAATAATTAAATAAAATTATAATAAAACTTTAAATATTATATATTTATTTTATAAATACTTTTAAAGATTAAAATATATTAATTTAATAATATTTATATATAATATTTAATAATTAAAAGTAAATATAAATTATTATATTAACTTTTAAAAAAAATTATTTTAATTTAAATATATTTTATTTAAATTTTAAAATAATTTAATAAGTTTAAATTAAATTTTATAAATATTAAAAATAAGAATAAAAGTAATGAATGAAAGATTTTATTATTAAGAATAAAGAAATTATAATCGTAGTATAAATAGCGTTAAATAAATAGGTAAATAAATAATAAGGGTGGTTGGAATGTGGGTTAAGTATGTTAGGCTCAAGCTATAATCGCATGTTCTACAATCCAGGTAGGTGAAGATGAATGAATGCATGGATCTGGAGGGATATAATACTATTTCCGCCCAAATGATCGCCCATTCTCTTCTCTTCGTTAGCTCTGTGTCCATCAAGCAAATGAGTCGAGTATCGGCCTTTTCAGGTGAAATGGTTCTGCAACGCCTCCTATCAGCTCTGGGTTTTACCCGAGGCACATACACGCGGGTCATGCCCGTCGAATCTCTCCCGACTTGGAGCCTCTACACCAATGACGATGAAATCGAAGATGGATTGGAGTTGAGGGAGAAACAAGCGTCAACTGGCAGAAGTCAACCTGCTCAAACGCGGTACATTACCTGGCGGAAGTGCTTCATTCTCTTGTCACGAGTCCTCCTACCATCATTTATGACCGACAGGCTTTGTGACAGACCAAGAGCAAAGAAAACAACACATCTTCGACCAACGGCTTATTTTGATGGTGTCCGGGGAGTCGCCGCGCTCATCGTGTACATATTTCACTACTCCTACTTGTGGTTTCCCGCCCTACGCCATGGCTATGGATCGACCGAGACAAACAACTTCTTTTGGCAGTTGCCCATAATCAGGGTCATCCACTCTGGAAGAGCAAGCGTGTCTTTATTCTTCTTGATCTCCGGATTTGTGTTGTCGGCCAAGACGATCTCTGTCATAAAGGCGAGCCGCTCTGGGCTTGACAGTAAAAAAGTTCTAGATTCGATCTCGGGGTCTATCTTCCGCCGACCATTCCGCCTCTATCCTTCAATCATAGTACAGACAGCTATTATAGCGGTGCTGGCTCGCTGGCCAGGCTTGCACCAGCCGATCCTCGACAACAACCCGTCCACCATCCCGCCGACGCTGGATAGTGCGTCTGAACAGTTTTGGCACTGGCTGTCGATCTTGTCAGGCCAATTGAATCCGTTCCAATTTGTTCCTGGTCGCACGACGCAGTTCCCGAATCCCTATGACGGCCACCTATGGACCATTCCGGTGGAGTGGAATGGGTCGATGATGATATTTCTGTATTTGACTGCCCTCTCGCGCTCCAAAGCTTGGGTCAGAAACTCCGTTCTATTGGCAAGCATTACCTGGGCATTCCGGCTTGGATTTTGTGACCAGGCGATGTTCTTGGCAGGCCCGCTGCTCGCCGAGGCATCACTCACATGGCCGCCGCATTCCATATACGACACCATAGACGAACATGGCACGGCCGGAGGTGGCGACCAGGACGGCCGGGGCCAAGTCAAAAACAGCAGGGTGATCCACCTGCTCGGCCACTTCACTACCATCTCGTGGTTCCTGCTCGGATGTCACCTGTGCTCCTGGCCGGAGACCCTAGGTGCGCAAACCCCAGGGTACCGCACGCTGGCCGCAAGGTACACACCGGCCCCATACCATGGCGATGAGACAATGACACAGTTGTTCTGGCTGTCCTGGGGCGGCGTACTCGTCATGATGGCAGTAATGTACTCACCACCTCTCCGGCGAAGCAGTCTCGACGAGCCTCTGCTGCAGCGCCTGTTCACGAACCGCTTTGCGGCATACCTGGGCGAGATCAGCTACTCTATGTATCTCTGCCACAGCAGTGTGAATGAGATTGTCGGCATGCGGTATATGCGACCCGCCTGGTTCGCGTGGATGGAGACGAACAGAGAGGCTGCGTCCCTGGTGCATCAGAACCGGACTGATGCCGCGGCGACATTGATGGACGCTGCGAATACGAGATTTTTGACAAGGTGGGCACTCGGCATGTTTGTAAACACATTGGTACTATTTTGGGTCAGCGACCTATTCAATAGGGCCGTGGACGCAAGATCTGTGAGGTTTACAAAGAAGATCAGTGAATGGGCAAGGAGGAGGTTTTAATTCCAGCAGATATTGATGTATGAGTAATTATTTCCCAAATTTTCCTTTCGTGTCGTATCAGCCTTATGGATGATCTGCTATTGTTCCTAGGTTGGGGCAGTCAACTGGTGTCTACCTATGCTTAGAGTTCATCTCTTCCAGTTGTCCTCGCCCAAATTCGATATAGAGAAATGGGTTTTCAGATGGTTGTGTTTGGGGTTTGGATGTGTAGCAGCCTTGAACTCGGCGAAGAATGGAGGCATCGGCTGATGCAATTTTCGAGGATGAATTGACCATAATTTTTGAATGAACACTATCTTACACGTTTCTTAATTTGAACCTATGAGTGCTTTTCAATATGCCCAATAGCAAGCCTGGACAGCCTGGTGGAATCAGAAGCTGATCCGCGACGCCCCGTTCACAACGTCAAGAAATGAAATGGAGCTCCAGGACTTGCGTGTTTGTGCCAAAACTCCAAGACCATGCGTATATGCGCGAAATACCTTGCTTTCAAGAACCCATGACATGCCGTTGTATGCCTCAGACCGTAGGATAGAACATCGAGAAGGGGAAGTAGGATGGACTGACTTTGAAAGCAAGGCGAAGAAGGCTGAGGAAAACCGAGCAAACTGGACATCAGCGCTGCTGCAGACCGCCTGCCTCCACATCACCTCGTGTACATTGAAAACACGTCCCTTTTATACCCCGTCCTCCAGCGCGAACTGAGCCCCACTGTCCATCTTCATCTAGAGGGCAACGGAAGTGGCGGTGTTCCTCCATGACGCTCCCACAACCAACGCGCCTTTCTTGCTGGCACGGAAGTGTTCCCAAATGTCGCACTTCGTTGTTCAGATTTCTCCGCGCGCCGAGCTTTCAGGCAGGTTCCTCAGGGACCCTTCTCCTATTCTTTCTCCGCTCAGCTACTTGCCGACCGTGTACGCCTGCAACGTCGCCCATAAACCGTGCCCAGCTCATGCCGCCCCTCTCAAGCTGCTGGCCGAGAGCCATGCTCAGGTCCTCGTATTTGCTGTCACGACCAAGACCCAATATTGCCATGACCAGCACCAGGTTATCGTTGGGCTGGGGCTCCGCGACGTATAGTCTCCTTCGGAGGTAGCTCAATCTCAGGCAGTACTCCCTCAGGCTACCACCAAAGCGTGGCTCCGCGGGCGATATGGAGTTGAGCTCACGTAGCCATGATGCAACGTCCTCGCCGACGGCCTTGGGGAGGGCTTCTTGGACGAGATCGTAGATGGCCTTCGGGTTCGTCTCGGAGGGGTCGTAGCCGCATGCGAGGAGTGTATCGCGGACGTCGAGGCTGAAGGAACCGGTGATCAGCAAGCACACGAGAGCGCGGTCGCGCTCCCACTGTTCGTGGGTAAGACCGGTCGAGTTTCCGCCGGAGCCGAGGTACTTTGTGGCTGCCCACGGGGATGATGAGTTCGGCGGCTCCGGCACGCCCCGAGGCAGCGTGACGTAGTCGGCGAGACCGTGCAGTCGCAGGGTCCTGACCAGGATGTCGTCCCATTCGTCGAGGTTCTCGTGCCCCAAGAGCCTCGGAAGGGGAGGGAGATCAAGTGGCGGCACGCGCTGCCGTGTATTGCTGGGTCTCGCTTCACTCAAGTCATCCGAGGTCGCCGGGGCTGGCGGCAAGGGCAGTGTGCTCGCCGTCATGAAGTGGTCATACTGGTGGAGCCCCTGGTACTTGCCAAACTGCTGGGCACTCGCGTTGGAATCCTTGCGGTGGTAGAGCATACCAGTGAGAATATTCTGACCGGTGGCCCAGGTTGCTGACGCCCATGTTTGTCGCCGCGCAGCGATCTGGCTGTGTTGACTCGTGCTGCCGCACGCTGTTGAGGAGTTGGACGTCCATCTGGAAAGTGGGCCTCCTTTGTCAGATGACGACATGCTTTCTTGCTGATGATCTAGAGGTGCGGATGGATGAGCTCGGGAGCGACTCGTGCTCAGTCGGAGGATTGGTGGGAGGTGAAAAAGACGACTATTTTACCGCCGGCGGAGGGGTCATTGAGCCGATCTCTTCTTCCGTTGTTGCTCGAAATGGTATTTGGCTGCTGACAGGCGAGGATCCGAAGAGCACGGTCGGCCACGCATCGCCCAAGTGGTCAAGCGACTATGAAACGAACGGGTTATGGGCAAATGGGGTAGGCCGGGCCTGCAGCTGCTGTTATTGCATCACTCCCAACCAGTTGACAACGAAGGACGCGTCTCCACATGCTGCATATGGATTGGCAAATCAGCCTGCTGCTCGTGGTTGCTCGAGCGTCTCGGCCAACGCCACAGTGGAATCTGATGATGGTGTGGGTGCTTGCCCGAGTGGGCATGGCTAAAAAAAGGCTGGGCAGATCGTCCTGCACGAAGCATTGGTTGGACATGTGATAAACCCTGCAACGATCGCTGCGTCCCTTGCGTTGGCCCGGCGCCAAAGCTCAGCCCGGGAAGAAGTTTCCGGGGCCGGGTTCACAGATAAAAGACAACCCATTCTGCATGATAATTTTAGCTCAATAAACCGACCACATGTAGCTGGATGGACTGGTGGAGGTTGCAGAAGGCTGCTGGCTGGGTGATATGGCTGGTGGTCCGCAGTTGACGTGCCTAGACCCCCAGGAAAGCATATTGCTTCTTCGCCCATGCAGTAACGAAACTATCGGCATCTTGGGTTTCATCGTCATCAAAATGATTCCCTATTAGAATCATTGTACGGAGAGCTCACCGCTCGAATCAAATTGAAGATGCCGGAATAGCGCCACATGACCTGAGTCAATCGGGCATTCAACGACGCGATCCTGCTTTAGCAGCTCTATGCAGTGTCGATGAACTTTGTGCGAACCGAAGTTATTCACACAGAACCGAACCGTAAACAGCTGATATCGTTCGAATCGCTGGCGTCAGTATCCGGGCCGTGGTTTTCCCATGCATGGAACCACCTGATGGACGCCCTGCTACTCCGAATTTTACCAACCTGTGCCGGTGTGCCCTCTGCCGAGACTTCGAGTAGAGCATGCCAGTGTCGGTGATCGACAACCAATGGCTAATAATGGAGCACAACCGGGTCCGACTTATCCGCTCGGCCTGCAACAGGCACTCCCTGGTAGAGTTAAAATCTCTGGGGTCGTATCTCGCCTACTTAATTTCGCAACCTTGTGGAAAATGTTGCATTACTACTGTAACACAAAGGAAAGAGGAAAAAATGCTGGATATAAGTCTTGGCTAGCTAACATCTAATCAAAGTGTACTAAGCGGCCATTTTTTTTGGTCCGGGGGGGGGGGGTTGTTGTAGTAGGAGCGATGGTCTAATTCTCCCAGTGCTGTCCACTGAATCGAGCTCGCAATAGATCACAAATCCTTTTCCTGCGGCGCTATCAATTTATGCGAAGCTTCCCCTAAGAGCGTCCGGTACTCAGATACAACGTGTCGCCGAAGCAAGGAGGAGACTGCTATCGTAAAACGTCCAATGTTAGTTCCCCGTCAATTCCTGTGATATCGTCAAGTGCCCAGAAGGAAAGAGACCCGGATGCAAGCAGGTTCATAAATCCAGAAAACTACAAGAACTCCGCACCCAGCTATCTATCGGGAGTCCGAAAATTGTATCGGACTGTTTGTCTTGATCACCGACTGCATACTTTGGCCTTGTGTGCACGAAAGGCCTTCGAACATGCATCTTGCACCGTTGCAGCAATACGGTTATATAGTAACATTTGCCATGAGATCTGGGGTGCAGTATGGGATAGCGATTCGATGAAGCACCTCGGACAAGTATGTCGTCCATACGTGGCTGTTCAGTGTACTTTTCCTCTTCTTCCCTTCTCTGTTTTTTTTTTTCTTTCTGCTTGTGTCACTTTTCCTTCAGTCGCGGTGCTCCTGTAGTTGAACGTATGGAGCCCACTAGCAGTTTCTTTTTGCATGACTACCTATACATCGCGTCTCAATACAAGTGGCTGCTCTGTTCATTTTGGATATCACGAGTCAATGGCTGCCCTAGGCCAAACTGCACTTTCAAAAATCTGTCTCTGTCCTCCGTAAGATATTACCTCGGCATGAAGGCGGTGTCCATGCCAACCTTGACTGAGATCCCGGATTGTCAGCTTAGCTGGTGATCATCAACTTGCGTTCGTTCCTTGTCATTGCCAGCTGAAGTTTCTGTTTGTAGAATAAGAATCCCACTGTATGAAAGCGTCCAATATGAGCTCGGACGTATGTGGAATAAGCACGCGACCATTAAAATATGCAGGATATTTGAGCGTGCCCTACTTGTAAAACTCTACCTTGAGATTGCCCTGCTCATGGGAAGAAGTTCTAGCTGGCCTTCGCATTGAACAACTGAGTTGCAGCCCGGGCCCTGCCAATATTGTCTGAAGAGCGTCATTCATATATCAGAGCCAAGCGCCAAGAAAACTGTGACACTCGCAGAAAACACTCAATTTTCCGAGGTCAATGTACTTAGCGACCACACTCATGTACAGGTCAACGCCGATCACCAGCACAGCACATGGGTATCTAAGTTAAACAGGAGCAGTTGACCAGCCAAGTTCCACCCAGCGCAAGTTGCAACCCACAGGCAGAGACCTCGATTTTGTGGTTAGATACTGAACGGTAAGAGCCCATCTTTGTATCTTATGATCAAATGATCGAGCCAGGCAAGGAGTGTGCCGGCATTGGCAGAGAGTCCCCAGACGTCTTCACCTCGTCATCACAGACTCCTCCTGCGCCACTCAGCCACTGTGGCGGGAGCTGGCGCCGTGTCCAGGACCAGGGTGTGAGCAGCTCCGGACGGGCGAGAAGCTCCGGCTGCGTGCTCTGATTTGCTCGCCGTCAGCTAAGCTTCCGCCAAGAATGGGACGGCTGGTGGGCAGGGATGCCAAGTTTTGAGAGCGGGTGATGTGTGCCAAGACCAGCCCTCGCATCTTCTACCGTCAGCCAGACGTACACAGACTTGACAGACAGCCAGAAGGAGCTGATGATCACGTCTGGATCACTCTGGCTGTCTTCCCTCCCCTGTCAGGCCTGTCTGATGGCTCCCTTGCCCCTCTCGGGCCGGAGCTTGCCCATGTTTCACAGCCATCAGCCATCGCTCGAGGCTGGTCCCGTCTGTCCTGCCGTCTGGCCCGTCTGGGCGCGCGGAGGGCTCGAGATGTGGGGATTTCCTTGCTGGGCCGGCCCTGAGGTCATCGTTCGCTCGCCGGTGGTCTCGATTCCTCGATGGATCACCTCAACGGCCAACATCCCTTGACCACACGTGCCGCCAACCGACCGGTCAATAGTCCGGCAATGTGTTGCCGTGCTTGCGATGAAGGGGAATAGTGTGTATACCTAGTATGTACAGTAGCCCAACGGCTTGTTCCATTGGCTGACGCGACGCAAACCATGTGCATGTATCACAATTCAACCCCCTTTGATTTCATGTGACGTCAACGTGTCTGCCCTCTTGTTCGTGACTGTTATAGATGCTTCATGGCGCCCTTTCCCTAGACCACCTCCTGTGACCGTGTTTCTCTTCAGACCGATCCAGAACAGCTGCAAGCATAACAGCCTCAGCCCGAGGCATCGACACCCCTGGCTCCGTACTGAGCTCCCGCTCTCGTTCACCACCTCCACCTGGCCCATTTCCGAAGGTTCAGCCAGTGTCAGTCCTCCTCATTCCGAACCATACCTATCATCCTCAACAATGGGGATCTTCAGTCGTAAACCCCGTGACGGCCCGGCAGCACATTCAGCCGGTACTCATTCCAAACACCACAATGACAAAGGCACGCCGTACTACTCCATGAGCTCGCGGCCGTCATTTGGCCAGTGGCTGAAGCACACATGGCTCGACATTGTCACAATGATTATAATGGGCGCGATAGGTCTCGGTGTAAGTCATGATCATATCAAACACTTCAGCTTCTAATTCATTGCGTGCACACCTGGGCAATTGCTGATCCCCGGAACCAGGTCTACGAGGCTCATCCAGCACCAACGCGCTCGTTCCCCGTCCTCTTCTCCGATGGCGAAATCGTCTACCCCGAGTTTGCCTACCCCCTCCGGAAAGAGATCATCCCCATCTGGGCCGCTGCGATGCTGGCCGCTCTTGTTCCCATCTTCGTCTTCCTGGTCATGCAGATCCGCGTTCGCTCCTTCTGGGACGTCAACAACGCCGTCATCGGCCTGCTCTACTCCTTGATCACTGCCGCCGTCTTCCAGGTCTTCATCAAGTGGCTGATAGGAGGGTTGCGCCCGCACTTCCTGACTGTGTGCCAGCCTGATATTTCTCTTGCCACAAACAGCGCCGATGGTGGCTACAATGCCGCCGGGTTCAAGCAGATCTACTACACATCCGAGATCTGCACCGGGGACCGGAACCAGATCGACGACAGCCTCGAATCGATGCCGTCGGGCCACACGACAGCCGCCTTTGCAGGCTTCGTCTATCTGTACCTGTACCTGAATGCCAAGCTCAAGGTCTTTTCCAACTATCACCCCGCCATGTGGAAGCTGATCGCCATCTATGCCCCGATCCTCGGCGCATGCCTCATTGGTGGTGCCCTGACAATTGATGAGTTTCACAACTGGTAAGCTGAACGGGAGAGCTGTAGGCGTGCCAACCAGCATGACAGCTAACCTTGTGTTCAGGTACGATATTTTCGCTGGCGCAGTTATCGGATCGGTCATGGCGTTCTCGTCCTACAGGATGACATATGCAGCGATCTGGGACTGGCGCATTAACCACATTCCCCTCAACAGGGGTGCGGCGTTTGACTTTGGCAACGCCGAGCTCACGCATGCTACTTTCACGAGGAAGGTCGGCTGGGGTACATCTACCGGCGGTGGTCTCAGCGGACACCACGCCTATGGACACGACCGCAACTCGTCCATCGGCAATAGTGGCGTTTCCAGGAAGCCGGTTGGCTCTGGCAGAGCTCCTGAGGCCATGTTCTAAGGAATGAGCGGGGTGGACAACCCGGAAGAGAATGGGAGGCAGTCAGGTAGGAGGCTTTGCTGTGCGAGAAGGGTGCATAGTCGTGATCATGCGTGATACCAATACATGAACGGAGGCACGCCTTGGAGTGGGTGCGGCTTCAATGCTCGCAACTTTCGAATCTGAACATCTACCGTCGCCGCCGCTTGCAATGAAGCTGACGAATACACGATACCCATATGAATTACGTCAGACAATTAATTCAATTAATAATTTCCAACGTTGCCTTTCTGTACAAACCAACTAAGGAAAGTGAATGGTGACAGTCTCCCCACGGGTATCTCATAATCCAGAACACCAAATTGCCCAGACGCCGCTGAAGCATTCGAAGACACTAAATACAATGCTGTGTAATCAATAGTGCTGTCTCCCCCTCTGCCACATCATTGTGCGAGCTGGGCCTTGTTATTTCTTCCCCAGTATCTTCCCAATTAAGCTCTGGCGACGGCCGGGTCGCGCCGGTAAAGCTGCGTTCTTTTCCTCACTCGCCGCACCGACGCTGTTCTTCCTGACCGGTGCGTTGACCTCGGACTTGGACCTCGTCCTTGGCGTGATATCGCTCTTGGAGCCTTTCCTCCCCTTGCTCTCCTCGCCTCGAGCCCTCCACAATAGGCCAAGCAGGCTGGCGACGATGATGGCCTCAAGCTCCGGGTCGAGATTGGCCTGCAACAGCAGGGCGCCCTCGCTGAAGGGCTGCGAGAGTGAAAAGCCCAGGCCAACATTGTGGTAGATTGCGCGGATTCGAGGCTCATGCTTCTCGAGCGTCGCGGAGTACGGGACTTTTTCCTCGTCTCCACCATCCTCCTTGGCCTTATCTTGCTCCTTCTTTTCCTCCCACCAGTTTTCCTCATCCTTGGCGGCGTCGTTCACTACTGCACCATCACGGATGCCTTCCCCTAACTCAACGAGCGTGTACCTCAGCAGGCCGTGCTCGACGGGATGGACCTGCCACTGCAGCGTCCTCTCATCGTCCAGCAAGCTCGGCACGGTGAACGTGAACCATGCGTTGCGGCTGCTGCCGAACCTGCTCTGGGTCGGCTTCAGGGGAAAGCTCACCACGACCCGGATGTCCACGTCCGTCGAGGCGGGCGTCACGCTGTAGGCCACGTCCCCGTCGGCGAGCGACGCCTGCGGTGGCGGAATGGTCAAGCCGACGTCCGCACCACCGTACAGCATCCGGCGACTGACTGTGCCGCGAGTCACAAGCGCCGGCCCAGCCCCGAGGCTGCTCTTCCTGCGGGTGCCACCAGCGCCCACGCCGCCAGGGACAATGGGCCCAGATAGTGACTTGCGCCGCTCGAGAGGCTCGAAGTCGACCAGGTAGCTCACTTCGCTCGAGCCGCGGCCGTCTCCGTTGGGCTTGGGCATCAGGCCGAAGCGGGTCTTGAAGCGTGAGCTGCCCACGGGCTCATCTTGGACCGTCTCCTTGTAGTCCTTGGTGAAGTCGTAGATCGGGAGGTGCGCAGCCTTATCGTTGTGGCTGGGCACGTACAGGATGCGGGAGGTCAAATGTGACGGCGTCGGCGTCAGCTTCCTACCCAGCAGAGCCTCGTACTGGTCCGGCGCGGAGAAGTGGGTGTAGGCAGTTCCCGTGGGCAGACCCAGGCCGTGTATCGCCGGGTGTGCATAAGGGTACGGATGCAACCGCGGATCGATCGTGGTGTGGTAGGCCGCTGCTATCGCTATCGCTGATGCAGTGGCCATCTTGGCTGTTCAAGGCCTGGGCTCGTATCCTCTTTATTCCCGGTGGTTGCTTGTTTGCGAGGCTGACTTGACTTGGCTGAGATGACAGGAGTGCTTGTCTGGACCTCGTTAGGTATGTGGTATTCTTGGACTGAGTCTTGACATACTCACTACATAGCATGGGACATGAGTTGGACACAAGAGAAATGGCAACGCCACGCTCATCACCACTGTTGTCGCTGTCGAAAGTCATGGCGTCGGGCACGTGCTGCTTGGCCAGGCGTCTTGGGCTTCTTGGTATTAGTGCGGGGTCATCTGGTCCTTGTTATCTTGTCCTCCTCCCAAGCCTCCAACAATCCCGTGTCTTGCTCTGAGCGTTGCCAACTTCGAACGGAGTTAGGCCGGCCGAGAAAGCGGGGCAGGTGTTGGGGGTTGCGGTCAAGGGCAAGCAGGGCGGAGGAACGGAGAGTAGTGCTGACGCCAGCGACGGAATTTGGATGAACGCCAATTGCTTAGGGTGGTTACAAGGTCAGGGGTGTCAGCGTCATCTTGGGCTGTCCTTACAAGCACGTTGCTACTAAAACTCAACGAAGATATCCCTTCTAGCGGCATATTGGTGACCCTATCATGCAGATGACACCCGCTCGACAAAGTGCTTAATGAGCATTTTTGCGCTGTGTTCAAGCGTTGTTGTAATTGATATCTGGCATTTATTTTCCAGATCACCCATGTGTCACCCACCCCTGAGACCGACTTTTGTTGAGCTTGGATCGGAGACCAACAAGTAATTCTCGGTTTGCACCAATCTCCACAGGAGCCATTGGAGTCTTTTGGTATTTCTCCGAAGTCAATACGATCGCTTCTAAAGTTGGCAAATGTGCCAACACCACAGAGAGCCCCTTTTGTACCCAGAGTAAAGGTACAGACCCAACAGGGACACGCAATTCCTGTTGTCACTGTGGACATGGAAATACAGTGTTGTGATGGGATTTGCACCTGGGCATCGATGGCGACAAGTGGTGCCGCAGCGTATGATCGGACCAGACGGGCATAGCGCCGAGGGCTCCAGGGCTGTTGGTAGCAATGTCGAGCCTTGGCCAACAGCAACGCGTCGCGTCTTATTAACCGCGTGGAGAAAACGGAGACTTGCACATCCCTTTTCTATGCGGTTCTTGTCGTCTCTCCGCAAAACAAGCAACACCAAGATCGGGATTTCCACCTACATCCACCTACAGAACATCACCTTTCCAAACAAGCTTTCCAATGTCCACAAAGTCAATCCTAGTTACAGGCTGCTCAGCTGGGGGCATAGGGGAAGCGTTGGCCGTTGCCCTTGCCATGCGAGGGCATCGTGTATTTGCAACAGCTCGGGATCCCGCGAAAGTCCCAGAGTCACTTTCAAGCCTTAGTAATGTCACGGTTCTGAGGCTTGACGTCTTGAGCCCAGCTTCGGTGGCTGATGCTGTCAAGGCTGTCTCTGAGAGCGGCCAAGGACTTGATATCCTCGTGAACAACGCAGGTTGTGGTTATGCACAACCTATACTTGACGTAGACATAGCTAGGGCACAACAGCTTTTTGATACCAATCTGTGGGGTCCGATTCGAATGATACAGGCATTCTCAGACCTCCTAATTACAAGCCAGGGTAGGATAGTCAACGTGAGCAGCGTTGGCGCCATACTCAATACGCCCTGGATAGGTGAGTTGCATGGAAACCTGGCACTCCCTGGCCTGTGATATCCATCACTTCAAGTTTGACTTACCCCACAATTCGAAATCTTCAGCTACCTATGCCGCATCCAAAGCCGCACTCGACGCAGTCTCCGAAACACTACGGCTTGAGCTCTCACCCTTCGGAGTCAGTGTGATCACAATTATGGCCGGAACCATTAACAGCCAGTTTCACGCCAACGATTCTAATTTTGGATTGCCGCCAAACTCACGCTATACTCCAATAAAAGATATCATAGCCTCATGGGCAAGTGGGGAGGCCAAACCCAAAGGATGCTCGTCAAAGGAGTTTGCTCAGTCTATAGTTGACGATATGCTTGGGGGGGGGGGGTATGCGGTCAAGGGTGTACAAGGGACCTTGGGCTGGCACGATGAAGTTCCTGGCAAACTGGGTACCAACTACGCTCGGGGTAAGCACATTTGAACGATGGCTGCGTTTGCTAGTGATGCTCCACGATACCGTGAGAGTAAAAGCGAAACAGGATAGCTAACCAGAAACATCATCAGGACTTCTTCATGAGCCAAGGTCAGGGTCTGAAGGAATTGTCTCAAAGACTTGGCAAGGACGCAAATGGGAAGTGAAAAGAGCCAGTATCCTGGACGATATCACATATCTCGTTTTCAAATCCTTAAATATTCTTCAAATATATTTATTGGTTGACCTAGACCTGCTCTAGTCTCGCTCGTGCACTCTTTTCTGCCCCTGGCCCCATGTCTACACCCGTCACCCGGTGCTCACCAACCGATGCCCCCGTCTGCATTGCAGTGCCGACCTGTCACCTGCCCAAAATATGTACCTGGTCGTCCGGCCACCCACCCTTCGAGTCCTCCCGAACCTGGTGTACTCTCCAGGCCGCCCAGCTCGCAAGCACGACGAAGGCGAAAAAGTGCCCAAGTGTCTTTGTCTAGCCTTTCGTCCCCTGTCCACCATTGGACCACACCACCAGGCCGTCTGCCAGTCCTGCCAGTGATATGATGCCAGCGAAGGCCGTGACCCCGGCCACATTGCCCTGGTACTGTAGAATGATAAGTGCTAGGCCGTAGGTGAGCTCGCGGGAGCCTTTAAGGTATATGAGTGGCGAGTGGGTTTTCTTCTTGGCGGGTGTGCGGGAATCTTCGAGGGGGAGGCCAAACCTCCGGTACTCCTGGCGCGGACGGAGGAAGCAATTCAGAGCTATCAGTAGCATGCCGGTGCCCAGAAAGTATGCGAATGTTGGACTCAGGGGGCTGATGAGGCGCGGGGGCTCTTCAGGAAGCATCATTTTGTGTGTATGTCGTTTCACAGCTGACTCTGATGGATATGGGAAGGGGGAAGAGAGGAGAAGCAGAAGCGACTCGACGCATCAGCACGGGTGGGGACAAGAGGCCTCGTCCCTGCCACGCAGCAGTGCCACACCACGACGACCAACAGCCCTGGGGTCAGAACTGCTGCCTGGTGAGCATGTTGACAACCTGTTCGATTGACCCTAACCCAATCTCTCATCAGTCAACTGAGGGCGCGTCGCCTTGAGGACATCTTAAGACCGTCCCCCAGACCCATGTTACTGGCCAGAGGTCGCTAGTGTCCAGGTAGTCAATCCCTCGGTCAAACAGACAAGTCAACGGCCAAGTGACCGGACTGAAAATTTGTGCAAACGGGTCATCGAGTGACTGACGAAGATTGGAGATTCAACAAGCGCCACTGTCTGTCTCACCGGGTTGTCTTTAAACCCCGGCTTATTACCGGTTGTTGGCTGCATCAGGCGCCTAAGGCAACTTGAACCAAGTGTGAGCCTTGGAATCGTCCACGTTCCAAGATTCCCATCAATTTGATTGATTGATAGAGTAGGATCCTGGATATAGCCCTGGAACTTCTATTCACTCTCAAGTGGTCCTTTCCCAGTCAATGGTTCATTTGGCCACTGGACATCTAGAAAGCTTTCAACAAGATTTAGTTTGATGCAAGATTTCCACGCTCGGTATGTGTCCTGATCATTATTTTGACAGCAAACATTGAAGCCAGCGGCAAAATGTAATAGATGGAATAAAAATTCCACATCAAATGTGGGATGCGACAGAATTGGACCCACTTTCCTGCGCGTGTTCAAAGTTGCAGGTAGAAGGATTCATTACCATTTGTGGTTAACGCCAAAACCGACTCGGACTTAAAGACGCACTACCAGTTGCTGACGCCAGCACGAGTCGGCTGCATCCGGCGGCGAGCGTCATCATCACTGGCGGCGCCATCAAATCGCCGAAAGACCTCGACGCTGATGCTGCTGCGAGCTTGAATCCATATTACACGAATCAATTCTCAGAATGTATAAATATGTCAACCTGACTTCTCTTCTCTCCATTCCAAGGTCCAACATCACATTAAACCGTTCGGAACCATAGCAAGATAACTTCAACCTTAGGCCAACCTTGGAAGCAAGCCTCAATCCGCCCTCTTCGTATAACAACAGCCAAAATGTCCCAGTTCAACTCTCAGACAACAGCAGAAGAGGTCTGTGAAGCATTTCCCTCCGAGATCAAGGGGAGAACATTCCTTATCACTGGCACCAGTGCCAATGGCCTCGGTGCTAGGCTCGCAACAACACTGGCCAAATACTCACCGGCCCAAATCATACTCGTCTCCCGATCCAAGTCCAAAGTCGACCCTGTTGTTGAGGAGATCAAATCTGCGAACAGCAGCGTCTCGGTAAAGTTCGTGCCATGCGAGCTCTCTGACCAGGACAGTGTCCGCAGCGCGGCCGAGACAATCCTGTCAGATTCAGAAATCGCCAAGATTGATGTCGTGGTCAACAACGCCGGCCTGATGGCCGTTCTGGAATATCAGGTCGACAAGAAAGGAAACGAGATGCAGTTGAGCGCGAATCACATCGGACACTTCCTTCTCACCAACCTCATCATGCCAAAGATCCTGGCCGCCGGTGCTGGCGCACGAATTATCAACCTCACCTCTCTCGGCCACCGCATCGGACCCTTCCGATTCAACGACCCAACATTCAGTGGCGGCAAAGAATGTAAGTGTAGAAAAGGCTCAACTTCCCACTCTGATTAGTGTATCCTGTTCTCATGAGCACTGGTATTAATGGATGTTGCTAGACGATCCTTGGTCCGCTTATGGCCAGTCCAAGACCGCAAACATTCTCTTTGCCACCGAGCTGGCCCGCCGCCTCAAACCCCACAACATCCAGTCCTTTGCCGTACACCCTGGCCTGATCCTGTCGACCGGCCTGGGTGTGCACATGGACTTTATGGCCCAGCTTCCGGCACTGCAGGCTGCAGCCGAGAAGAACAACCCCGGTCTGGAATGGAGCGCGGAAGGCCACGCCAAGAACGACTCGCAGGGATGCGCAACTGGTCTGACGGCTGCGTTGGACCCGGGTCTAGAGGCCCACAGCGGCGCCTATCTTGAAGACTGTGCGGTGTCGAAGGCTTTGGAGTACGCGACCGACCTGGAAAATTCTAGGAAGCTGTGGGCTTACAGCGAGGAGATCGTTGGCCAGAAATTTGATTTCTGAATGTTCAGTTTGATTTCATATGGTGGAATACTTTTCACACTCCTTTTGTATCAATAGTATAGATTCGATTTTAGGTGACTATAATATGCTGGTCTCGCGCTTAATAGATAACCCTTCGTCACGAACCATCACTGCGTTTTGGTTGCGAGGATTTCCTGTTCCACAGCCTCCCCCAGACTCTTTGTGGTTCCCTTGCCCCCCATATCAGCGGTCATGACACCCGGTTCTGACCGTGCGAGGACAGCTTCGATGGCCCTCAACATGACGTCGGCTGCATTCTGGTGGCCTAGGTGCTGCAGCATCATGGAGCCTGCCCAGATCATACCGACGGGATTCGCGATGTCCTTGCCCATTATATCAGGAGCGCTTCCGTGAACAGGTTCGAAGAGGCTGGGAAATTTCTTGTCCGGGTTAATGTTTCCCGAGGGAGCTATGCCAATCGTGCCAGTGCAGGCAGGGCCAAGATCGGACAGGATATCGCCAAACAAATTACTTCCCACTACAACATCGAAGATCTGGGGCCGCTGCACGAAATGAGCAGTCAGAATGTCGATGTGGTACTTCTCGACGTTCACCTCGGGATACTTGGTAGCCATCTCTTTCACCCTGCTGTCCCAGTACGGCATCGTGATGGATATCCCGTTGCTCTTGGTCGCACTGGTGAGCTTCCTCCGCGGCCTGCTCTGCGCCAGGTCGAACGCATACTTGAGCACGCGGTCAACGCCGATGCGGGTCATGACGGTCTCCTGAATGACAGTCTCCCGGTCGGTACCCTCGAACATCTTGCCGCCGATGCTGCTGTATTCCCCTTCGGTGTTCTCCCTTACGATCCAGAAGTCGATGTCGCCCGGTTTGCGACCTGCCAGGGGGCACTTGACGCCCGGCATGAGACGGCTGGGTCGGAGGTTGATATACTGGTCGAACTCGCGACGGAACTTGAGCAGGCTGCCCCACAACGACACGTCGTCTGGGACCTGGTCGGGCAGTCCCACGGCGCCAAAATAGATTGCGTCGTAGCCGCTCAAAGTCTCCTTCCAGTTGGGTGGCAGCATGTCTCCGTGTTTAGCGTAGTAGGCACAGCTTGCAAAGTCGAAGGATGTAAACTCCATGGGAATGTTGAAGAGAGATGCTGCAGCTTGGACACAACGCACGCCGTAGGGCATGACCTCGGTTCCGATGCCGTCCCCGGGCACGACGGCGATGCGGAGAGGCTTGTTGCTTATGGTGGATGCCATATCGACGCAGTTGTTCAGATACAGGCGGTGATGATATTTCCACTGAATATGGGATACGTGTTGAGTGCGGTAGGTGAAGTAGTTGACCTAGGTCGGCTATATGTGTGGCCGGGATCTTGATCGGAGCTTTCGTGCTAACAAACACACCCCATGGGACAAGAATAAGGTGGGGTCGTAGAGACCGGACTTGAGATACACCGGGTGACGGGCTTCTGGCTCCACCTGTAAAAACGCCTCGAAGAGACATGTTAATGATTGGAGCGTGGTTTAAGTCCAAGTGACCGCATAGAAAGGTTGCTCGTTTCAATGCACTGCACAGCGAACCCAGAATCATCCATAATACCTTAAGTACACTTGCATTGATGCTGATCTCAACTCGAAGTTGCGGGGGCAACTTAGAAGTGTGGCGGACAAACTGAGCAGCCATCGCACAATAATCCGCCTTGCGAGTCTTTCACGCCCTGTGATGGTTCCAATGTAGAAGAATCTGGGACGCAAATAGTAACGTCGGAATTCAAATCGTGCATACCGGTCCACTCCTCAAAACTGAATACTTCCGAGGTTACGGTGCGCCCTCGACACGAACTGTGGCATTGTTCGGTGCGGTGGTGAACCGGTTATCGGTCTACGGCCCTTGCCAGGATAAAGGATTGACCGGCAATAATCCAAGCTACTACTATCTCGGAAAAACGAAGCAGAGCCCCCCCCTAATTAAATACCCCCTATTCCTCAGTTAAACTAAAACTTTACTAACAAAGCGAAAACTCTAACATTCTTACTAAAATACCCCTATTAACCTTATTAATATTAATAATAAATTATCTTTATTATTTAATTAAATAAAAATAATATTATACTAATCTTATATAATTAATTTAAATTTAATCTATAAAGATATATATAACTTACTTATTTTAATATAAAGTAATATTAACTTAATTAACTTTATAAATAATATTATTAAATTAATCTATTAAGTTTAAACTACTTAATATTTATTATATAAAACTTATTTAAAAATTAAATTATATAGTTTATTAATAAAATACTATATTATTTAAATAGTTATATATTTAAAAGTTAATTATTAAAATAATTAAAGCTTAATAAATTATTTAAAAATACTTATAAATATTTTTAAAAACTATTTAAAATAAAGTTATTATAATAAATTAAGTAATTTAAAAGGTATAAAAATACTATTTAAATTAATAATAAAAGAATATATCTATTAATAGAAAGAAAAAGTAAAAGGTATTAATAATAAAAACTTTTATTAAAGTAAAATCCTTAATAAATAATATTAATAATAATATTAAATATTTTAAAAGTTATTTAATTAACTTTTAATATAAATATATTTAAATAAATTAACCTTAACTTTATTTATTAAAATTTATAATTTAAAAACTATTAATATTTTTATTATATAATTTAAAAGATAAAGTATTATATTATAAAAGGATTAAAGTTATAGGATTTAAAGTCTTTTATTAAAATATATTAAATTAATTAAAGATTTAATTATAAAGGAGTATAAAGATTATTTAAATATAATTATTAAACTAAAAGATATCTTTATTAAAGCTAGTTAATTTATAAATTAAAAATTTATACTTTTATAATTAAAATTTATAAAAAAGATATTAATAGAAGGATTAAAATATTTAATTATAATAATATTATAAATATATTCTTTAAGATTTAACGACCATTCTTTCTTTAATTTTATATAATTATAAAGTTATATTATTAATAAAAGAGTTATAAATATTTATATTATAAAGTAATTATTTAATTAAATAATTATTAATTAAAGTCTTTTAGTTATTATTAGTTATTTAGTAAATAATTACTTTAAGAGATAGTTTATTAATAATTAGGTAAGTAGTAAATATAAATATACTTAATAAAGACTTAAACTTTAAGACTTTTAATTTATATTAATAATTATTAAATAGAAAATTAAAATAAAAATAAAAGTAGACCCTATATAAAAGAAATAGAAGTAATTAATAAAAATATAATTATATTTTTAAATAATTATTATAAAGCTAATTATTATTATTAAAATAAAGGGATTCTTTATAATAATAATATTTTATTAAATAAAATAATATATATATTAATTTATTTAATAAGAATTTAAAGGACTAATTTAATATAATTATAATAAATAATACTATAATTAAATACTTATTAAAAGTCTTTTTATTATTAAATAGTTTAAATAAAACTTAATAAAGAGGAGTCTAATAGTAATAAAGTTAACTTTATCCCTTTTAAAAAAGTAATAAAAATAAAAATAAAAAAATAATATTAATATAATTATTAATCTATTATTTAATATTAATTTATTTAAAGTTAAGTATAATTAAGTAACTTTAATAAGGTTATTATTATTATTATTATTATTTTTTTTATAAATTTAATAAAGTCTTATTATTATTAATAGTAATAATAATAGTATTTAAAAGTTTATAATAAAGATAAAAACTATTAATTATTCTTTTATTATTATTATTATAAATAAAAGAAGATAAAATAATTTTATATTAAAAGTTTATTATAAAAGTACTTTAAAAGTATTTTAAGGATTTATTAAAAGGTTTAATTTAAGTAATTTATAAGAGTTATAAAGTATAAAAGATTTAACCTTTATAAGCTTTATAAAAGGAGGATATTTAATTTAATAAATATAATTTAAAGGTTATTTTATTAATTAAAATATTAATTAAATTATATTTAAAAGAAAGAAAGACTTTATTAATTTCTTTAATAATAATAATAATAAAAAGATTTATTATTATAATAAAAACTATTAAATAATTATTTAATAAACTATTAAGTAGATATTAAAAATATATACTTTATAAAGTTTATAAAAATTATTTAACTAATTAATTAATTTTATTTAATATTAAATTTTATAATTAAATTAATTATTTAATAAAAGAATTAAAAACTTATTAAAGTAATTCCTTTATTTAATAAAGTAAAAGTTATATAATAAGTTTTAAAGGATTTTTAAATAAAAAAGTAATAATTAGGTATATAAAAATATAGTTAATAATAGAAAGTAATTAAAAGAGAAAATTATTTATTTTAAGTAAATAAAATAAATTAAGTATTTAATATTAAATATTTAATTAATTAAATAGATTTATTTATAATTAATTTATTTACTTTAACCTTTAATTATTAATTTAATTATTTAATTTATAAATAATACTTTTTATTTATATAACTTTACTTAATTAAAACTTTATTAATTTTAATTTTATAACTTTTAATTAAAACTATTATATTTACTTTATTTTATATTTTTTAATATTTATATATAATAAAAATATCCTTAAATAACTTTAACTTTAAACTTAACCTTTTAAATATAAAAATAGAAATTAAATAAAATTTGTATTTAAATTATAATTTAATAATTTATATTAATATTAATAATATAAATAATACTTTAAGTTATTAAAATATACCTTAATAAAATAAAAATTAAAAAATATAAAAATAAATATTTATACTTTATACCTTTTATATTTATTACCTTAATTATTTCTACTTTATAATATTAAAAATATTATTTATTATAAAGATTAACCTTAAGTTTAAATATAGATTTATCTTTAATAAGATATTTTCTTTTAATTATTAAAGGAAAAACTCTTTTATTATATAACCCTTATATATTATAATAATAAATAAACTATTTAATATAATTATAAAGAGGATATAAAAGTAAACTTTACTTAAAAACTTTTAATTTATAAAGTATACTTAATAAGTACTTAATTTATCCTTTTATACTATCCTATTTATTAAAACTAAACTTATTAATAAAAATAAATATTTTTATTATATAATTTAACTAATATACCTACTAAAAGTAATAATTATAAAACTTTTATTATATTAATAAATTAATATATATATTTATTTATTACTTTATATATAAACTTTAAAGGTATTACTTATTATTTTATAATAATATTAATTTATAACTATTTAATAAAAAGTATTATATTTTATTAAAATATAAATCTAATTTATTAAATAAAAATCTTTTAACTTTTAATTTATATAATTTATATATTAATTATACTTTATAATATTATTATAAAAATAAATTAATAAATCTTTATAATTTATTATTTTAACTTAACTATATTTAATAATAATAATAATAATATACTTAAAGTAATTATATAAATAATAATAACCTTTAATAATAAATCTAAATTATTATATAATTATATTAAAACTTAGTTTATAACTATTTATTAAATAATAATAAATTAAAATATAAATAAAACTTTAACTATTAGAGTTTAAAATATAATAAATAATAATTAGTTATTATTAAAACCTTTTTTTTATTAATTAAAGAATATTAATAAGTTAATAAGGGTATTCTATTAAGAAATATTAAAGTTTCTACCTTATTAATAAAGTTTTAGTTTAACTAAAAAATAAAGGGTATTTAACCGGGGGGGGGCTCTGCTTTGTTTTTCCGAGACAGTGCGTACCGGAGCGCACCTTGACAGCCCGTAGCGGCGACAGTTCGACAAGTGACGTATGTGGATGTTGATTACCCTAGGATACCTGGGACATTGTATCAAAAGCCAACATCCCGCCCAAAGCACCTCTGAAAAGACGGCGTCGCGACAAAGCCAAAAGCCAAAAGCAACATGTTTGACGGTTTCGAACCCTTCCGCATCAAAACCTCTGCCGAGCCGGAGGTGACGATCGCAGGCATCCGGAGCACCGGCGGCAAGGACCTGCCACCCCTTCTGCTCCTCCATGGCTTCCCGCAGACCCACCACATGTGGCACCGCGTAGCCCCACAGCTGACGGGCTCGTATAACGTCGTGCTGATGGACCTGCGCGGATACGGCGCATCGTCGAAGCCAAGGGACGACGTCTCTAGCTATGCCAAGTCGGCCATGGCCCTGGACTGCGTAGCGGTCATGGACGGGCTGGGTTTCGGTGGGGCCCCTTTCTACGTCTGCGCACACGACCGTGGTGCCCGGGTCGCCCACAAGCTGTGCGTGGACCACCCGGACCGCGTTCGCAAGGCAATATTCCTCGACATCTGCCCCACCCTCGCCATGTACGAGGCTACCAACCTGGATTTTGCGAAGGCGTACTTCCACTGGTTCTTTCTTATCCAAAAGAGCCCGCTACCCGAGACGCTGATTCTTGGGAGCCCGCGCAAGCTTGCTGAGATGTTCATGGGCGGCCGGCAGCGAGATGGGCCCGCCATTTTTGCATCTGAATGCTTCGAGGTGTATGTCAATGGGCTGAGTGATCCTGATACAGTACATGGGATGTGCCAGGACTATCGAGCTAGTGCAACGCTGGATATGGATGAGCAGAAGCGAGATTTAGCAGAAGGAAGGCGTATCAAGTCTCCCCTCAGGGTGCTCTGGGGCAATGTCGGCATCGTAGAGAAGGCATTCGACGCTCTTGCAGAGTGGCGGAAGGTTACGGAGACAGGGGTGGGCGTCGATGGGCATTCTGTCGACTCGGGCCACTATATACCTGAGCAGGCACCAGATGTGGTCGTTGCGGAGATGCGAGACTTCCTGGTCTGAGTTATTGCTAGGGGCAGTCCACAGTCACAGCTTCATCATACTACACAACTGAGAAGTGGCAGGTATTGAGGCAAGTCTTTTATATTAATTAACCACAATATTTTCATCGAGGCTCATTGTAGGAGACCCCATTCGTCCACCCCACGTCATACGCTTGTCTCTTGAAGTAGAGGCGTCCACTCTGCCTCAGCGTCGCCAGTCCTCCTCTAGTTTCGTCTGCGACGGACCGTCTTGGATTGGGGGGCCGCGGCAGTAGCATCAGCGACCAGACCCTTGACGCCGTCCTGCATAGCCTTGAGAAGGGACCAGTCGTAGCTGTCCTCAACAAGAGACCAAGCCATAACACCACCCAGGCCCTTGGCGGCGACGATGTCGGTGAACTTCTGGGCGACCAGCTCTGGGGTGTCGTATGTCCAGTACAGACCAGCGTCGGCGTCGACGTACCACTGACCGCCGTTCTCAGCGTCAAGCTGGCCGTTGGCCAGGGCGTCAGCGAAAGACTGCGCGGTGGTCTTCTTGGCGCCCGGAGAGCAGGTTCCGTACTGGTCCTGGCAGCCGGTGCCGCAGTGACCGGAGGTGGCACCGCAGAAGCCGTACTGGGAGCAGCAGGCGCCACCGGTAGCGGGACCAGAGCACATGAACTGGGTGCCGGTGCCGCAAGATCCGTCAGTGGATGTGGTGAGCGTGCTGGGGTCGATCACGATGGGGAAGGAAGAGGCCTCAAAGGTCACAGCGCCGGATGTGCCGGTGTCCTGGCCTTGAGCATCCTCGGCCGGCTCAAGAGGGCAGCCGATGGGCTGCGTGCAGGTGGTGTTGGCGGCGAGGGTGAAGTACTTGGCGTAGAAGGAAATTCCGAGGTTCAACTTGGAGGGGGTGAAGCCACGGTCGAGGTAGGCCTGGATGGCGTTGAGAGAGCCCTGGACGTCGGTATGGTGCTTGGTGTAGTTGTCACGGCGGTTGATGAGATCGTAGGTCATGACGTGGACCGCATCGACGGCACTGTCGATCAGGGGACCGGACTCGGGGGTGAAGGCGATCATGTCGCGCTCGAGGCCGGGCACGGCAATGGAGAGCTCCCTCCTGCCAATGGCCTGCTTGATAGAGGCGAGCAGCTGAGGTAGCGTCTCGATCTCGCCGACGAGGTCCGAGTTGGGAACTTGCTTGTAGTCGTAGCCGTTTCCAGCGGGGTACTCGTAGTCGATGTCAATGCAGTCGAAGCCGTGGGTGTCCATGATGGACGCAATGTTGCTGGCATATAGCGAACGGGACTCCTCGGTGGCGAGGCCCTGGCGGAAGCCAAGGGTGTCACCCCAGCCTCCAATAGCCAGGCACACCTGTGTTCCGTTGTCGAACATGGCGCGGATATCGGGGATGGGCATGAACGGGGTGTAAGTGCCCACGGGGTCGGAGGCGAAGATGGATGAGTTGGCAAAAGACGTGATGACGTGTGTGATACCAGCGGTCATCGTCTTGTTGGGGAGGACCTCAGTGTGGTACCTATGTGTTCAGATCAGCTTCAAGACTTCCCTGGCCGGTCTCTGCCAACTGTCCCAAACTTACTGGTCGAAGTACAGCGAGTATCGAGGAGCACTGGCGGAGCCAGCAGCGGCACCGACGGCGCCCAGCCCGGAGGCGATAGCAGAAGGGCAAACCATTGTGAACAGCTGTACCGAAGTGAAAAGAAAGAAGAGAGATGTGAAGAAAGAATGGACGACTCAGCGGACAGCAAGAATGCTCGCTCAACTGGTCTGTTCGATTTATTAAGGGCACTAAAATGGAGGGAAAGAGTGTATTGGCGGAGAGCCTGTGATGGGACGGAGCAGCCTCTGAGGAAGGAGGCGTGGGCTCAGAGGTCTATTAAATGAGAAGCGACGAAGCCTTGGTCAACGGCCCGGCTGAGTATGCCAATGCCTGCATGTCATCTACAGGCCCTGACCAAGTAGCTTGGGGGTGGGAAGGACCGACGATCTTGGATCCTACCTCAGGGGTCTGCTTGCCTACCGAATCCTTGCCGCCCGCCCGTCTGTGTTTGTTCGCTCTGGCTGCTTGCTGGCCCGCAGACGCACTGAGAGGATTTGGGATTTACAATTATTATGGGGCAGCCCACCATGCCACCACGAATCTGCTGGGAGGGGAAATTCCAAGCAGCTCATGTCGTCTATTTGTTGGCGGAACTCGGTCCACCCTGTATGTCATTACTGTACTGCCCATGTTGTCGCTGTGGAAAAGGGAAGGGGAAAAGGGAAAAAGGAAACCCTGGGCAGAATGGGGCCCCACCAGCATCTGCATTGGCGCAATGTGGATTAGCCTCTGGCTGTGCCACACTGCACCTAAACCTTATTGTCGGGCTTGTACACACACTCCTGTAGGGCGGGCGGGAATAAAATGCAGCCCGAGCCCCTGGTGTATCGGACAAGGCCGCCTCCAACTGACAAGGTTGACCCTCCGTCTAAGCTCAACCCAGTCCCAGTTCACCGATGCAAGATTCAATGCTTCACTCGAAGAGAGTTCGCGTATTTTTGGCGCGCATGTGTGCAACCTCTCGGGAGCGGTGGCCTCATTGGTTTACTGTTTGCCCCCATCTCCGAGATGTTTGTTTGCCCGTTGATGCTTCATTGCCGCTGCCCTAAATCTAGAAATTGCAAGCGCCTGGACATTGTGTTTGTTTGCTCGGCCTGCTTGCTGTCACCCGCCCCGCCGTCACACACGTCCGAGATTCCCGAGTCGAGCTGGTGCATTGACAGAGGTGTTCGGTGAAGCCACGAGGCACAGTTCCCCAGACGCCACCTCCAGATGTCTGCCTCCCTGGGCTGGCTCGCTCAGTTCAGGGGTAAATCGATCACACACACAATCGGCTGTGGGTTTGGCAGCTCGGGCCAGGGTTTTGACTCAAGGTTCTGGGCAATTCCAGTTCTGGAGACCCGCTGCCACGCCGAACCTCTGCCTCACGGACGCCAAGTCCGACTAGTAGGGACAAAGAGATAGTGGGCCGTAATTCATTCTTGTCAAAATGAAACAGCGCCGCAGAGTCAGTATCCTCATAGAATAGACTCTCGCTAATTGCGCTTCATTCCGGCGCACCGCAACTGAATACCTGGCGGAACCCGAATGACAGGAATCTCAAGCTTGCCAGGCGGTCCAGGCCATTTTTGAGGATCGCTTGAAAATCGACTGTCATTTTCATAGTCAGCCTGATGCCATCGATTGTACTGGGGCATGGATGGTTCGTACCAGCCGACTGGACTTCTGGACCTCAACTTCGGTAGCAGCAACCACCCAGTAAGTATAGGAGCTCAACAACGGAGAGCTACGTCAGTGGGGGCCAAGCTACCGTTGTCTCCTATGCAGGGAGTTATAAAGACTTTAAAGTTTTATTCTTTAATTAATTAAATAGTTAAAAAGGTATATATTTTTTAATTTTAATTATATAAATTTTTAATCTTATATTAATTATAAATTTAATAATAAGTTTAAAGTTTAATTATTTAAATTTAGTTTTAATTTAAAAGAAATATAATATATATTATAATTAAAACTTTATATTTTTTTATAAAGTTATATTTTAAATAAATAAAGTATTTAATAATTATTAAATTTATTAATTTAATTATTAAACTTTAAATTAAAATAATATAATAAGTTTTTTTACTTTTAATATTAATTATTTATTATAATATTAATTAAAAAGTAATTAATATATTAAAGAATAAAAATTCATATACTTAAAATCGAAAGGTATATACCCTCTCTATTATTTAACTAATTAGAGTATAGAACCTTAAAGTCCTTATAACTTTAATAAATAAGTATTCTTTATAATTTTAAAGGTTATAAATAGGGTGGGTTAGTCCTTTAGGAACTTAGGTTGTACCTACTAGCCTTACTTATAGCTCTCCGCTATACTTCGCACTTTAGGGCTCGCCCCCTTCGCCTTAGCTAGCCCTTTTATAAGAAGTCTTTTTGTATAGGATACTTTCTTCGTTAGTAGAGAGTACATACCTTCTAATTTTAGGTATATAAATTTTCGTTCTTATATATTATAAGTTAAAGTTTTATATTTTATTTTTTTAAAACTATAAAAGTAACTTTTTTAATTAATTAAATTATATTATAATATAAAGATATTACTTATTATTCTAAGTCTTTAATTAAAATTTAATAACTATTATTTACATTTAAAAGCTTTAATTGTCTCTCAATGGTTGAGCAGTGTGAGTGTGATTGTGATTGTGAATGTGAGTGTGGGTAAGTGGGTGACTGGGGAGCCCCCTGGCTTCCTGCTTCGTCATCCAGTGTGGCCCGTTCATTTAAAGACCTAAGCCTCCCTTTCACAATCACCTCAAACCTCCCCCTTTACATAGAAGGTAGCGCCGACTTAAGCGCAATTTCCATACTGAGAACAGTTATCTTGTCTCTGTTTTCCACCCTCGTGACAAGCAGGACGGATACAGGTAGAGACTTGCTGTTGATGTGGAGCGGAAATTGAGCTGGGTCGTGACTTGTGGTCGAAATATCTCCAGTGCCGATTGAGTCAATCAGAGCCCACCAGACTCGGTCAACAGCTCACTGCGATCTCCTTGCTTGGTCCTCCCGGTGCTGTGCCATCCATCGTTCCAGCTGTTGCGACTGGCTAGCCATGTCCTCCATCGACAAAGGCCGAGGAGCTGCAACATTTCGTTCCTCTTCTCGGTCCCGGCGCACTCTGCTCGCCCCGTTGATGGCCTCCGCCGTGATATTCGTTAGGGGCACACGTCCGAGCGGTGAATGGGACGCCGGCATCTTGTTCAAGATGTTGTTTTATTTTGTGTTGTGTTGTATTGTATTTGTGGTGTGTTGTGCTCTATTGTGTTCGTTTTGGAGCAGTGGTGCTAATGCTAAAGCTGTGCGTGTAAGGCAGTGATGCCAGTTGATGCAGGCAAGAAAAGTGGACGGGGAAAAAATCGGGTTTGGGAAGATGGCCTGGGCATCTCTATTTGATATTTGAGCTTTTTTGGCAATTCTTCTTTAGTGCCAGGTCACTTGCTTGAGCTTGCGCAAATAGTGTGGTACTAGAGGAACAAGTGGCCACAAGATCCGTGCTAACAGACGATCATGGCGTGTCAAGATTATTGAAGAAATTTTAGAAAGTGGCTTCGCTTTTTAATCCCCATACACATAAAATGTATGTGGCGCCTTCATACAGCGCCCGGTAAACGCTCACGACCCAGCGTTTGAAGAAATATAGTGCAAACTTTAGAAAGAAAATCGAATTATGTCAAAGTGTGAAGACTTTAGAGGGATCCTACGGAAAGCATGTGAGCATTAAGCCACCAGTCTGGTGCCAAAAAACAGCGCTCAGTTTAACTTGACTTTTTCTTGTGATAGCTCCCACGCTATCACCATAGCACACCGTACTATCTGATTAATTTACAATCCGTACAGAATTGAACTGGCACCTATTGAATGGATACCCCTATAGAAACTGCTCCTATGTCTTCTTCTTTTTCACCACATTAGCAATCTGCAAGTGCTCAACAACGACTGATATCATGTGAAATGTTTTCCCATTCCGAGCTTAGTCCCGAGGTCGCCATCGAACCGTGTGCCGCCTATGAGAAGACTTTGGTCAGTGCACTACAGGATTTGCCAATATTCTACCAACATAAAAGCCCAATAAGCCAAATAGTCTGCCTCTGCGGCCGGTGGCCACAACTCGCCTCCAACTTCGCGAACTTTACATATTTCATGGAATCATACGTGGGCACCCTTTTCCTATACGTAAACCTTCTCAGAATTACACGGATCTGCCTACCGTCCGTAGATCTACCGGAGTATACCTAGGCACCCCCATTGTCCGCGAGCAGCACCCAGCATAGCAGTGCACATCTCACAACACTTACCTTGAGATTCGAGCGCTTGGCTTGGGTTTTTCTTTGCGGACGCGAAGGAACACGTCCAGGCCAATAAAGAGGAGATTGCCATCATGTGCACAACCGCAAGAATCCGTTGTTTGTTACACGGCCCACTCTTTTCGAGAAGTCATCCTAGCACCTGCTTGCCGGGAACATCCCGAGCGCTGTGCCTTTGAAACGTCGAACCGCTGAAAGCAAGTTAAACAATCCATTTCAGAGTTTGACTTTGTCGTACCCCAGGTTAGAGTGAAGTCAATTCCAAGGCTAGCTGCAGCCTGCATGCTCTGGACCGCGGTCATTGAGAATGCCTTGTCCGGGTGCACCATTTACGCATTCTTCTTTTCGATATGGTCCAACCACTCTGACCTACGTAATGGATACGAGCTTTTGCCACGATAGAAGCACTACACCGAGGGGTTTATGGGCGACCACGAAATATGAAGCTCGAAGAAGACTGCCTCTCATGAGCGACTTCTCTGTAGGGTGGCAACGTGCTTACCTAGGTACCAAGAGTAGAAAAGCGACCCCGCGGAGAATTGGTCGGCATGTCAATATACGGCAGACAGGATGTTGAAAATCTGAGGTGTAATCGATGAGGCCAATGAGTGGGTTACTCGAGCCCCAAGATGGTCGATTAAGAAGCACTCGGCTGACAGCCCAATCAAGACATGCAGATAATGCAGAACACGGCGAGTAATACCCAATAGGATCATAAGTTGGCAATTGGTTGATCATTGCTGCTATTGTACGGATAGTCAAGACCATGGACAGGAAGTTTCCAAGCTGTCACAGGTCGAGACCCTCGACTCTCCGAATCTATCGCATCTCTATCGCTATGCAGGTTCAGTGCCCCGAAGAGGACACTGGGATATATATACAACGAAGAGGCCGCCTCAAACGAGGCAACCACAAGTATTCACGACACGGACAAAGCCACCACAAACATCAATTAGAAGAGACTTAAGCCATGAGCTTGAGGCCACGCTTCCTGGTGGAGCGCTTCTTGGCGCAGCTGGACTCGTCAGCGGCCTCAGTAGGCTGGGCAGCGGCGGCGTTGCCAGCGACACCAGCCGCGGCGGTGGCAGTGGGACGAGCGGCGGAGGGCTGGGCACCACCGGTGGGGGTGGGCGCGCCGGTGGCAGCAGGGGCACTGGGGGCGGAGCCAGAGCCGGAAGAAGCACCAGCACCGTCGTCGTTGGTGCAGTCACCGTCCGAGGTCTGGTCGGCGAAGTTGGCGGTGTGGTCGATGCAGGAGTTGGGCCAGGTGACGGGGCCGGGGGCATCGTAGCTGGTAGGGGCGGGGTAGTACAGGTTGATGACGATGCCGTCCTCAGTGCCGTCGTAGACGCCGGGGATCTTGACGGTGGGGGCGGGGGAGCCGGCGCCAGAGCCGGTGACGGTCAGCTGGGCACAGCCGATGTAGAACTGGGCGCCGCCCTTCTGCTGGGCACCGTGCAGGCCGATGTGCTCGCCACGCATCAGGTAGTCGCCGGCGGGCAGGTCCTCGGGCACGGTGAAGGTGAAGTTGGTGATACCGCCGTCGACACCGGTGGCCCACTGCAGACCCTCGGCGGTGATGGCGGACGTGGTCAGCTCGTACACCTTGAACCAGTCGCCATCGCCCTTGTAGGCCGCGGCGGTGGTGCCCTCGGGAGCCTTGGACATGTAGACAGACAGAGGGCCCGGGTGGCCAATGTTGGATTGAACCTTGAAGCCGACCGAGTCGCCGGGGGCGACCTCCTGGGTCTTGGTCTTGGCCATGATGTCGGCATCCAGGCCACCCTGGTTGCAGATGAAGTCGTCCGAGGTCACATCGGTGACAGGGGAGTTCGAGTTGGTGGTCTGACGGACGAACTCGTAAGGCTCCGAGATCTGGTCGTTGTGGATAAGAGCCTCAAAGTTGTAGTGGGCAGCAGCGGTGGCCGCGAAGGCCGCAACACCAGCGAATGTGGAACGCATCTTGGGCTTGGTAAGAGATTGTTTGGTGGGGACGAAAAGAGTCGGGTTATGAAACTGTTGATGTCGTTGAGACGAGAGAATCGATTTTGATATACCACCAGGGTTGAAAGAATGAATGAGCCGAAAATGGGCGAAAGAATGGCGCAAGCGACAGCTGCGGTGATGAAGATCAGAAGACGAATAGCTGAATGAGATGAACTGCCAGAATCATCAGGAGATCCGGAGAGGTGCAGACGGTGCATGCTTTATACCATTCGATGCTGTGCATCCCTTTGCTGCTCGTCATGCTCCGCTCCGTCGGTCCGCAACCCCTATGCGCCGGAGTGGCTCTTCTCTCCCCCGTTCATCAGCCTCGGGAGCAATCTGTCAAGGATCGATCTCTGCCATTGTCTGAATCCGCCCAGGCTGTCCGGCCGAATTCGACCGGGTGGGGCCTTGATCCCATCGTGGTCGGGGTGAGATGTCGAATTAAGGGGCCATTGGGAGCCGCCGCCAAGAAAAGGGGCTATCCGCGTGTTTATGTATGCAGTGTTTCCACGAATCAACTTACACCATGTTGGGAGGAAACGGCCCACTTGTCGAAACGCCTGCTGGGGGCAGTTGTTTCGAATAAGCCAGATTCGCAGGGGATTTCCACACTCCTCGCTTAGAAGTCAGGGGCTGGCCGCCGAAAGGTGGGTCTGCCAACCCGACAGCCTCATCAACTCGACATGAAACATCTGGAATTCCTTCACCGTAGCGCTGTTGGCATTTTCTTGTTGCCTGTCGCATGAAGTCATGGAGCTCCTGTCAAAGCTTGTTCTGGCGCTTTCGTCCCGTACTGGTCACCTCACTCATCACACATGCGCGCCCACGCACCAAAAACGGGGCAAGCAACCTTGGAATCCGGGCTGTCTGGTCAAATCCAATGTTTTTTAAATTGCCAAGTGATCGACCATACCCTTGGGGCCGTCAATAGCGGGGCAACCCGCTGTAAACGGCCTGCGGACGTCCATTTTCGGATGCACGACCGAGCAGAGCCTCACTGTTTCTGGCGATCAGGTGCATCGGGGGCGCCGACCAGCAGCGTCTCTTGTCGATCGCAGGCCAGATACAGAACTACTCCGTTTGGATCCCAATGTTCAGGATCACGTATTGATGACTGCTGTCCACCTTCCTGCCCGGGAAATTCTCGAAAGATCCAACCTTGGAGCTGAAGCGGGTGCTGCAATGAGGGTCACCTGCAGTCAAGGCGAGGGAGTTACAGTAGTGGGAGATGGGCAAGGGCGCTCACCTGCAACAACATCGACCGGGGTATTGCAGTAAAAAGGTCAGCCGCACCCACCAAGTATCCATCTTTACCGGTAGAGGCTGTAGCGCTTCCTCGCTTGTCAGTCCGAGTCGCTTCTAAGTCTTTACAGCCCCAAAGCGACTCGACGGTAACGGCTATAGTGGCCCAGCTGCCCAAAGGCGTCTACTTGTAGAGTCCTAAAATCACGGCATCGGGTTTGGCTAACTAAGCCGCCTCCTCCATGCAAATAAAATGAGCGCGCCGTTGCGGCCATGTTATATATTGCACCTGGCCCCCTATTTTCCTTGTTTACACGCTATTTCTTGTGCTATTATTAAGCCTGGCCTGAACCTTACCTATATTGCTATAATATAATTAAAAGTGTCCCTTTATGCTTAGCTTGTATGCCTTTTATAGCTATATTTTACTTTATAATATTATAGTAGGTAAATATTTCTATTAATTTATTAAAGGGGCTTTTTATTTAGGTGCCGCCTATTTATAATATAAAAAATAATATTAGCCCTTTTAAATTTTGGCCTTAATTATATTTTTATTTTAACTTTTATTTTTTATTTTTTAGGTTTTTTTTTTATAAAAGCTATAATAATTTAGCTTTTATTTATTTTATTTATTATTTTTTTTTTTTTTTTTTTTATTAAAACTTTATTTTATATTAAATATCTTTTATTATATAATTAATTAATAGTAAAATAAAATAAAAGTTAAATAAAAGTTATAATTTAATATTAAAATATTAAAAATATAATAAAATATTTGTTAAATAGTAAGTTAAGCTAATTAAGTTATTTTATTTATATATTTTAAAATTAAAAGAATTATAAAAGGGTAATATAAGCAATATAAATATACCCTTTTTTATTATAATTATAATTTAATTATAATAGCTAATTAGCTAGCTTTATAGCTTTTAATTTTATTAGCTATTTAATATAAAAAAGTTATTTATAATTATATATAAAAATAGCTAGCTAAAAATAATTTTATAAGGTAAAATAAAATAATAGCCTTTTATAAAATTTTTTTTTATTATTTTATATTTATTTTAATAAAGCTAAAATTTATTTGGGGCCTAAAAAAATAATATAAAAAATAAAATTTAAAGGTAATTATTTTTATAAATATTTATTAAAAAACCTTTATTACTAATATATAGGTAATAATTTTAAATAAAATGGCCATTTTAATTAAATAGAAGGTTTATTTTATTTAAAAGTAAGGGCTATTTAATGCTAAAAATAATAGCCTAGTAATAAAAGTTATTTAAATAAGTTTTATTTAGTGCCCCCCCCTTTAAGGTATTATAAATATAAATTTAAGTAAGGCTTATTAACTATTTAATAGTAGATAATAATAAATTTTTGGCAAAACCTTAACCTTATAGTTAATAATAGGTATAAAAAGATTGCTATAATATATAAAAATATTAAATAATTTATTAAAACCTTATAAAATATGTAAATAATATACTAATAATATTATATAATAAAATAATTATATATATTTATTTATTTATTTTATTTTTAATTGTTATTTAAGTATATTAAAAAATTATATAAAATAATATTAAAATTTACCTTATTTATAAGCCATTTATATTTAATAGGTATTAGCTTTTAGTTTGCCTAATTATTATATTTAATAAGTAAGATTAAATATAAATAAAAGATTAAAAAGTAAATAAAAGGGTTTATATATATTAAACTTATATTAGCCTTTTTTAGCTTTTGCTTTTATTTATTTAATTAATTATAAAATTATTATTAATTTAGTATAAATATTTATATTTTTTAATATAATTTACCTTTTGCTATTAAAGCTTTATATTAAAATGCTTTTAAATATAGGTATTAAATTATTAATAATATATTTATATAGTTTAGGCTAAATATTATTATAATATATTTTAAATAAAAAAAGGGCCTTAAAAATTAGTACTTTTTTATAATAAATAATAATATTTTTTAGGGCCTTTTTAAGCGCCTTTATTTTATATTAGGCCTAAAAACCCCATTTTATTTATATTTTTTATATATTAGTATAAATATAAACCTTAAAGGTAAGCAAGCTTATTTGTTTATTTTATTACTTTTTTGCTTTATTTGCTTTTATTAATTATTTTTGCTAATTAAATGTTGCTTTATAGTGGCCTATAAATATAAAATTGCTGCTACTTATAATATATTAAGTTATTAGTTATACTTTTTAGGTTTATAGTTAGAGCTATTAGGCTATATATATTAAATATAATTTATAAAAGGCTGCTTTTTATAAATATACTAGTAGTAAAAATAAGATTTTTTTTAAATAATTTAATTAGGCCTAGAAGGCTTATAATTTTAAAGCTTTTATATATATAATTAAGGCCTAAAAACTTAAAATAAAATAATATTAAAATATAATTATAAAAAGAAAGGTAATTTAAGCTTTTAAAAAAAATAGTAAAAATAAAAAGAAAAAATAAAAGCTAGTTATAGTTTTAAATATATATAAAAAGTATTTTAAAAAACTTGCTATTTTTGCGTATTAAAAATAGTTTTTTAAAAATAAAAAGAGTTTTTTATAAATAAATAAATTAAAAAACTAAAATAATTAAAAAAAGAAATATTATATTAGCCTAACTAATATTTGCTTATATATTAATATTAATATTCGCGGCTTTATATAAGCCTAGACCTTAAATATTATTTTTAATATTAAGGTAAAAAGGCAAATAATTATAGCTATAAAGTAAATAGGTAATTACCTTTTAATAATTAAAATATAATTTTTATATTAAAAGTAAAATTATTTTTATAAAAGCTATTTTTATTAGTAGGTAGCTATATAGCCTTATAGCTAATTATAAGGAAATAGTTTATATATTTTATTTATAAAATAGTATTTATTTAGCATGCTAATATAATAAAATATGTAATAAAGTATATAGCCCTTTTATTTTATTATTTTTTATTTTATATATGGGGAGATTATTTATAGCCTTTTAAAATTTAATAATTATATAAAGTAAAAGTATAAAAAAGTATGCCCTTTATTTTATTATTAGTTATATTATAATAATAATATTAAATAAAGTTTGGCTTAAGGATAAAATTTTATATGTAATTTATTATTATAAAATTATAAAAATATGTTTTTATAATATTTTAATTTAAAGTATGTTAGTAGGGTTAGTTTTAAAGAAATAATGTTTTTATGCTATATATTTAAACTAATAGGTATATAATTTAAGGTTATAATTTGGCTATTTTATTAATAAATATAAAGTATTTATTATTAAATAATGTTTATTTTATAATTAGCTTTTTAGGCCTAAAGGTTTATAATTTATATTTATAAAGTATATTTTAAAAGCTTAAATAGTATTATTTTTATTTATTATATATTTAGGTAGGTAAAATAGTTGCTTTTTAATTAATTATGCCTTATAACTTATTTATATTTAAATTATAAGGCACTTTAATAAATAAATTATAAAAATATATGTTAATATATTGTATTTTAGAATTAGCATTAAATAGAAAGCTAAAAATAAATTTTATAATTCTAATTATATAGTAATTTAAGTTTAGCCTTTATTATTTAAGGTATAATAGTAAGATGGTAAGGGGGATTTTTATATATTTTTATTTTTTAAGCTTATGTTTAAAGTATTTTTTAGCCCTTTAAACTTTTTTTTAATTAACCTAGCTTTATTAAAGACTAATATTTTAAATTTTTTAATTAAAAGTAATATTTAAACTTTATTATTAGAATTATTACCTTATAGTTTAGATGGCTTTATTATATATATAACTTTTATTATAAAAAGTTTATTATTAGTTATTACTTTAAAAAAACTAGTTGTTATTATAATAGAAATATAGTATAATATAGAAGTTTTTGTTAAATAGGGCTAAAATAATTTTGGTTATATTATAATTATATTTTTATTATATTATAATATAAAAATGCTTAGCTTTTATTAGCTTTTTATTACTTTTTATTAAAATAAAAGATAAAATAATATTAAATATTATTTATATAGCTATTTTACTTATTATATAAATTAACCTATTATTTAGGCATTTATAATAGTAGATTTAATAATATATTGTTTATTAAAGTTTATTATGCTTAATTTATTTATTTTAATATTTTCCTTTTTATATAAAGTTTATTAATATAGGCTATATAAATTATATTAGTATTAATTTTATAATTTTATAATATATAAGGCTATATTTTATTTAATATTATAAAAGAATAGCTATTATAGTATTTAAAATATATTTTAACTAATAAGTAAGTAATTATAAGTATTAGTTATATTATAAAAATAATAAGTTAATTTTTTAAAATTAAATATAAATAGGCTAAGAGTTAAATGCTTAGCTTAGCAAATATATTTATAAATCTAGTAGGGCTAGAAGTAGTAAGTAGTTATAGTAGCTAAGCTAGTTATTTAAATATAGTTATTAATTTAATAGGGTTGGAGGTAATAATATAGTTTGTTTAAAATGTAAGAGGTAAGAT